ATTTATACACCTATGTCTGGAGGACATAAATATTGCCACCCTGTCACACTACTAATAGTGATAGGGGTCTACCACGCTCTCTATAGCACTGTCATCTCTACTGTAACCAAACTAATTTTCGCGGTAATCTACTTTTAGCACTTTTCTCGCTTTAAACATTGCCCTTATTTGTGACTGCCCTGATAACTTTTTGTATATAGTTTTCTACTGCATATATTGTAAGTGCGCCAATTCATCAATGTACTCATCTGTTATGATTTGATGATACAATAAAATTTGTATCCACTAAAAAATGTATTCTTACAGTACATTGATTTTACATCTTATCTGAAGCCATAACAAAATCCTCATATAATTTTTCGTAAAAATCATTTTGTTACTTGAATTAAAGTAATGCTAAATGATCTGTTGTCGATTAATTATGCCCTTTTGATTTTAGGAATGATATGGTACGAGTAAACATGATATTGAAGGTGAATATAGTGCTCAGAATGGAGTTATCCAGAATAAAATGTCTTTGTTTCAAGTTGTGTTACCATGGTAACAAATTAAACCTGAGAAAACCATGTATAAAACACATCCTCTTACCCAAAAACAAACATCTTGTCTACCCTATATACGGTGCATATTTTAAAGCAACCTATTGACTCATTTACCCCTGAAATTTCATAATGAACTATTCTAACCTTCGAATCAGAAGGGTTCAAAAGTGTCTTCATGATCAGAGGTGAGTGAGTTAAAGAATGAATCACAGATGATGAATTTGAAACAAAGGGCTTAATAAAAGCTCTCAAAAATTTCAAAATTTTGGACACCTCAAAAATGTATTTACGTATAGAAATGATTGATATCAGGTGGAACAATTCGGATGATTTCATGCTAGGACATTTGTTGTACAGTTTGTTACCTTACAACACAAAAGATTTCCAAAACAAAGTACTGCTGACAACAGACCAGGGATCACATCAGAAAACCAGAGTTTCTCTCTCATGGACTTGTCTTGTGGACGCATATTTTGGCAATTATTCAGTAAATACTTAACCCTTTCACCCCTATGTAACTTTAATAAACTCTACCATGCCTTGATCTGGATAAGTCCATTATGGTCGACAGTGGTGAAACGGTTGTCATATTTTGACAAGTGATAATGTCTTGTTGTTCTTGTGGAAAACATGTACATGCAGGATAACAAACAAATTTCATCCCATTTGAATTTGTAAATAAAAAAGACCTTAATCTATGACTGCTAAAAACTGTAAATGTCATCAAAATATCCAAGACAAGAGTACCGCAGGGCGGAACAATATCGCCCGTCGTTGCCATCTAGTGTTATTGTTACTGAAATGAACAAAGGGCAATAACTTTTGCAAAAATCGTTGAATCAAAATTCTTTAAAGGAAGACACAACTTCATATCATGATTATAATGTATACCATGTTTTAATGAGATCCGTTGAAAAATGTAGGAGGAGATTGCCGGACAAAAATCAACTACTGAAATAAACAAAGGGCAATAACTTTTGCAAAAATTGTTGAATCAAAATTCTTTTCAAGGAAACACAACATCATATCATGATTATTTAGCCTACTAAGTTTCTAAGAAATCTGTCAAAATGTAGGAGGAGATTGCCGGACAAAAATCAACTACTGAAATAAACAAAGGGCAATAACTTTTGCAAAAATTGTTGAATAAAAATTCTTTTCAAGGAAACACAACATCATATCATGATTATTTAGCCTAATAAGTTTCTAAGAAATCTGCCAAAATGTAGGAGGAGATTGCAGGACAAACGAAAAGTTTACACCGGACGGAGTGACGGACAACCTCATACCATAATACAATGTACTCCCGTCAAAATTTGACGTGCGTATAAAAATGAGATATTTTGTCAACTTCTTTCTAGTGCAGGTACAATTATGTAGTTGTAACAAAAGAACAAAAAATTGAACTCAATCTAAACTAGAAATTTGTTTTTGTAAACAAAAACATATGTCTCCCCTTATTTAGCCAATAGACAAACATCGGTATAAAAAATTAACAAAGGGCCATATCTCTTTATATAGTGGGACACGAGACCTGAATTTAGAATGTGACACTCCTACTTCTCAAGATACATTAAAACTATAGCAAGTTTGGTCAACGTAGGTGAAATAGCATGGAAGGTATGCCATGGACAAACTTTGGTATCAAAATAAACAAAGGGCCATAACTCTGTATATAGTGGGGCACAAAACCTTATTTTAGTGCGCGAGATTCCACCTTCCCAAGATACATAAATATGTCGAACAGATATAAAATTAGGTATCAGTGAAGCTTGAATATTATATTAAATTCAAGTTAAATCACCCCCAAAAAAACATATGTTACTCCAGGAGACAAGTGTTATATAGACAGCAGATGTTCGGACATGCCGATTTTGTGTAGATCCATATCGCACCCCCTTCAGATCAACATTTGGCATCAATTCACCAATATATAATTATCATAAGACAAGGAATATTCTTCTGTGCTTCTTATTTAAGTGTTTTGTGCAGTGAGTTAATTTACATACATTACAAAAAGGACAATGTAACACAGTTTCAGTGGATGAAAACAACATGTACTCCACAGAGCTACGGGAATCTTTAAGGGAATAATTCGCCTTACAAAATGATAATCTATTAACCGCTTGTGATAAAAACTGTACTGAATCACCTCAGTCTCAAAATGATAATCTATTACCCACTTGTGATAAAAACTATACCAAATCACCTCAGTCTCAAAATGATAATCTATTACCCGCTTGTGATAAAAACTATACCGAATCGCCTCAGTCTCAAGGTGATTGGCTGGAACATCCCAATTCTTACTATTGTCTCTATTACAATTTGTTACAACATACCCCTCCCACCTATTCACCCCCCACCCCAAAAATAAATAACATATTCTATTAGTAATTGCTGTTTGGACCAAAGTAAATGAAGGTGTCTGTCTGCATATCACAGTTATTCACATTACACAAGCAAGTGAAGGAACGACACAGGTGTAAACACAAGTCATCGTATGTACAGGTAAACAGGTAACACAATAACACACACGTAAGGTCTCCAATAACTGTAACAGTTCAGCTACACTATGAGAACAATTTTGACGAAAATTAGTAAATTACCAGGTCCCTTATTGGGATAACATGATTATATTTGTACAAATGACATTTTCATGTTTACAAATGTAATGTGCTCATATAACAGTCATATGCCTTGTACACGTGTAATTCAAAAAGACTTTAAAACGGATATCATTGCTTTCAGAATCTCAAGGTAAACATTTTCCCATGATTAAATGTTTATTATAAATGCCTCATTTCCATCTTATAATTTGTACATTATAAACATGTAGTACTTTTGTTCAGTAGCAGGGTTTTACCTAAAGGTAGTTGTATAATATTACATAAATACCATGCGTGAAGGGAAATAACTCCCTATAATTATATCCAGGCCAACAATCTGCCCGATTAGAATCCACTTATCCAAAAAAGTAATTTTCTTCATTTGGTTTCAACAAATTTTATGGTATTTACAAAAGGATTAGACAACAGGCAGTGCCTATATTAGTCTTCTCCTGATAATTTTCTTCATAACTTAAGCTGACATACAATGTAATAACAGCTCAAAGGACTCAAAGGGTGCTATATTTTGATATCATTAATAAGAAAACACTCATTCTATTTCGAGGTCACAACTGATAATACAATTAATTGTTTTTGCGCTAAACCCTGCTCTTTGATTGGTCAGTTTAGCGTATAAAATAACAAGTGTAATATGCCATGACAGAAAGATATGAATTTCGTTATTATCATAATAACTTGAATTTCACCACATATGTACTGTAATAATAATATCTACTGTTATGCCATATTCATCCTCATTGCTCAGAGAAAAGAGCATGAAATTAAGACATGGATTCTTACTTTGAAATGCTGCACAAATAATAATTTGATTACATGTGGGTAAATTCAGTAGCCTCAGCACTGGTTATAAAAGTCTTAAATGCACATATTCAGAATGTCAGTAGCTATTCAAAATTAACTAAAAAGTCTCCAGCTCATAAAATTAAATTCATACTAATTGCTTCTTGGTATAAGTGCACATTTTAACTTGATCTTCCAAAAGGATGCTGATTTAGACAATTGCTACAAACACAATTGACACCTTGTTTTAAGTTACGTAGAGAAAAAAACAAAAAGGTGATTGATGACATGTACAAAATAATTTAATCTAAATCACTTCTCAAGCCTAACTTAAAAAGTTCCCTTGAATCATAATCGTTAATCGTTATTTGGATTATGTTTCATGAGCGAGTTCAATTTTCAAGAAACTTCACTTCATTTGTACAGTTGAGTTACCGCACAACGCACCGAAACTAGTGTGGGCACAATGTGCATACATCGCGCACACTGTCCCCACATACATGTAGTCCATGCTTGTTACTTCCATGCTTCCACAACTGTGCAATTTGACAATCGGTTGCCTTGTTGTGCGCTTCTCTCCGCACAAATGTGCGATGCGGTACAAATGGTTGATGAATATTACGGAATGAAAAAATCTGGAAGGCTTGCATTGAAACACTGTTTATATAAATTTCTCATCATATTAATCAAGATTATGTTCAATTTTACAATGTGTGTTACAAAGTTTTACAGTGACCATAAGACTTTCATTAGGCTCCAAAGTAACAGAACAGGTAAATATTATTTTCATTGACCAGAGTTTTACCTGGCCTGTGCCTGACAAAGAGGGCTGATATATGTGATACCGTATGACCATTATGGAAACACAAGTGGACGTTAAGTATTTTTTATTTGCATTCTTTTTGGTCTATAGCTCCCCTTCACCTGGTTTATCACACCTTGACCAGCTACAGCTGTGTTATAATTTTACATGTGTCGATTTAGTCCATCCCCAAATTTAAGAAAATATAAATAGAAAGATCAGCTTATATACTGTATGTAGCTATAATATAGAAACATACTTCAAAATTAATTGATGTGTTTAAACACGAAACCGTATATATTGTTAAACCATTTCTCCATTTACACCAACAACGATAATCATCGTCCAAACGTGTAACGTTGTGAAATTCCACAATTGTATCATGACTAACCTGAGTTGAATAAATTGTTTTGTGTCCGAGGCAATTAGAGTCTTAAAGCAAGCTAGTGTACAGATATTATTTATTAAAGAGTAGCCCTTTGTGAATATATCAATTATCTGCATAAGAATTTGTTTGTATGTAAAATAAACAGCAGTTAGCAAGGTACGCCCATCCTCTACACTTAACTGAAGTCTGCAGTCAACACCACAGTCATGAAAATAAATTAACATATACTACATGCACAACCTAATACTATAACCCATATTTATGCCAGTGGTAGTTTGGAGTACCATACAACATTTATCTCCTTGAAAAAGGTACAAAAAAAATGTTTTTCAACATGAACAGATTCTCATCACAATATTTATCATCTTATCCTATTCCTACTACCTTGGTATCTATAAGGTTACAATGCAAGGTAAGAACCAACATTTTCTTACAAATGAAATGGTATCTCAGGTGAAGACAATGATAGCAAGGGGAGGTAATGATCCCCTTGCTGACTCCAATATTCTATTGTAACCAAGAAAAAGATTTTCCAGAGTATTGACGGTTGGTATATCATCTGGTGAATTATCTTCTATCAGTGAAAAACAAAACTCTCCAAAGCACATATATACTTTATAAGACTGTCATCAGGTTGGCACAGACATAAACAAATTCACCAGTAGAAATTCTGTAGGTTATATTATCGTCCAAGCAATTTACATGTAAGAGGTGACTTAAAGTAGCATGGGGTCAGATTTGTAAGCTATCTAATATGTTGAAAAAATATTTTTTGTAAACAAAAAATTAATACATTTCATCTTGGGATAGGGTATATGTTATTTGTAATGCTCATCGGTGGTTCTTATCTAGCGTTGTCAGCTTCAATTTAGGAGTAATTTTGATTGATATAATGTACACGGAATTCCAAGAAATTAAAAAGTAGGTAAATCACAATTCAACATTCTGATTAATTTGTATAGTTGTATCAGAGACATATAGTAGTATAAACGTCTCTGGTGCATTTTTCAACATAATGTTAAATATTCTAATGTTAAATATTCTATAAATTAAACTTGTATCCTTGGTTTAAAGTTCACTTGTCCTTTGTCACTTATTATCATGTAGGCCTACGGCATCTGTTCCATATATGTTCCTATATGTTGGTTGTGTCAGCGATTAATGCCTGAGATGTATATGAATGAGTTATGATCCATATCGACAACACTGTTAGACATGAACTAAATGTGCATACCTAGTTAATGAGTTTCTCCCGACAAAACAAATCACAGCAAGGAATGGTTTTCACGCTCATCACAAAAAGTTTTCTCAATGGTAGCAAGAGATTCACACGCTGTGGCCTACTTGCTGTAGACCGATCTAGATCCGACTCCGGGTACGTAATTTGATAAGCCTCGAGAATGACTAGATTTCAGCTGCTTCTCAGTGTTCCTTTGATTTTCCTACAGGTTCTTTGTGTTTGGACAAAGGTCCTCCATCCTGTGTCACCGTGGAGCTTCACATATCACAATAGGGAAATCTACATTGAGACGGGGATGAGGCAAGTCCACTTCACCCTTTTTGATAAAAAGCAAAATAAAACATTCATTTTCTTTTGAGAAATACCCTCTTTCTATACATTCAAAGTAAAGATGACTAGACAATATCCACTTGGAGGTGATCTGCAGTATTTATGACAATGTTGACATATTTCGACACACTAAGAGTGTTGTCGAAACATGTCAACATTGTAATAAATACTGCCAATCGTCTTCAAGCGGATGTTGTCCAGTTATCTTTACATTGAATTTCGGGTACTTTTTGTGCTTTACTACTGAATTCCATTAGGAATCTATCCACATAATGGCTACCGGATCTTTGGAACTAACAGAAACAGGCGTTGGATCTCGTTTGTTTTGCATAAAATGTACATGTGTCATAATCTAAATTGTTAATACAAAACTAAATTTCTTCCAACAAGTCCAAGCTAGTGTAATTTTTCAAACATACCTCGGAAGGTTTAAATTGCTGATGTAAGTGCTTTACAATACACTGTATACAATACATAACATACTTTTTTATACATATGTCTATTAATAAATTGCTAAGTTATTAGGTTCACTTTTTAAAAAAGGCAATCAATACCAGATCATTAATAGAGCATTGGCAATGTCATAGAATTGACCTTTGTTTTCTCATATTGATAATACCTAATCATTTCAGTCATACCAAATCAATACCAGCCATCATCAGGTTGGGGAAAACCACCAACTTGCGCATAATACGCAAACTCGCCTATTATACGCCAGTTGGAGTATGGATTTGTTACTAAAAAAATCAAAAAATTGCTTTAGCAGTAACTTTTGCAAAATATTATTAAAAATCGCATAAATTTACAACAAGGTAAATAATATTTTGCTAAAAGATGGTTACTGAAAGCGTTAACGTTAGCTACTTCGAAACTTTATGTAACTTTACCGGAAGTATTGCATCTATTTTTGCCATTTCCCACATGCAAATAAAGTTTATTTTTGCATTTGTATTATGTTTCATGACTGAATAAATGTGACTTGGACAAACAATTTGAAAAAGTTAAGATTAAAGTGATTTTGGCTATTTTAGTAACAAATCCATATATACCCCTATTGGCGTATAATAGGCGAGTTTGTGTATTATAGATGAACATCATTACATTTGACAGTCCTAATAATATTTTTGCAAAAGTATGTCTCCTACATATACTTGTACCTGAGGGCGAAGGTTACAATACTGCTTTTTCATGTAATGATGGCGGCCTTCAATGATTTCCACATAAAACTCATGAGCTAGGTCGTCGTCTTCATCAAAGTACATGGACCTGAAAGCAAATACAAAATTTAAATAAATCATTGATTAATTAAGAAATAGTCAATGTATGTGCGTGCATTATGTTGGAATATACAATGAGGATGAGAAAATGTTGGAAAAAATAATTAACTAAAACCATTTGCGACCTGAGTTGATTATTTTCCCAGCATTTCAAATCCTGAGCTTATATTTCATCATAATGGTAATGAACATCATGAAGCAAAATGTTTCATTTTACTTCAGTTCATCTATTTATCAATTTCTACCTTAAATACGGACAAAACTGGTCACTTTTTGCTGTCATATGATGCCTATACCTACTGTATATATAGCTACATATCATTTATTATCAACCTCTGAAACCATCTCAGATGGATTTTCCCCTCTAAGTAAACTCTCAAAGAGGAATAAAAATGCATGCAAATTTTTGCAGCGTTTCTTCAGTCCCTTAGTGAGTGGAAACATGGCTTGATCAATTAAATTGTTATCAGATATGTCAATATAGAAAGTTCATTCAAACAACAAACTGCTTGCAGTACCATGAACGGTGACAGTCATTAGTTTAATTACTTTGTTCACTCAGCTGATACACGTCTGATGGACAGGGACTTACAAGGTAATTATGGCTTGACTTATTCTCACTCCTCTTTGTAATAAGTTACAAAATGAAAGACATGATATTGTCCTCTAGGAGGGACATTTACCTCACAAATCTGGTTATAATTATATGGAAGGGTAGGCATCCGGTACAATTTGGGTTATATGGCTTAAGAGGCAAATAAAAATATTGGGGTGATTATGGAGAATCCCTCTCAAAGAGGGATAGAAGCACTGCATAAGGAACCCCCCCCCCCCCCCCAAAAAAAAAAAAAGTTAAAAAAAAAATACTGCTCTGAGCCTGAGCATATACATTTATAATTATTCAATATCTGAATATCTTTAATAAAGCAACCTGTAATTACACACATAAACGTTTTGAATATATGATAATAAATGAACACTGACAGCTGTATTCCGAAAATAGAAAGCTGAGAAGTGATCAGCTGGTTACTTGAAGTCACACACCCTGAACGTTTGAAGACAAATGGTGTCACTGCGAGTCTGTTTTGGCATGTCTCGCTATCGTCAACAGCACCGGTAAATAAAGAAGATACCGACTTGGATACTTTGGATGCAAGCGAAGATGTTCTCTGACCCATTTTCACTCATCTTCGGTAACTCATTCTCAGTAGGAAGTTCTCACTAACACAAGGGAAATAACTCTATTTTCGTAGCAGAATTGTAGGTATCAGTCTACTAATTTTGGCAATAAATTAGTGACTCAGTCCAACGCATACAATGTAAATATGCATTTTACATATGTAGACCATGTCGGTTGTTCTTTCTCATTGCAAATGGAGTTAACAGTACTAATCAAATGTCCGTCAAATCCCGTGCTGTAAAATTCTTTTAATGGTCGTTTGTTTTGTTTTATTTTTAAACACATGTAACTTGTCGCTGAAATCGCGCTACTGAGGTTATGTTTGTATGCTTTTGATGTGCGACGTTAAAAAATATTCTTTTTTATTGTGGCATATTGATATTGTATCTTGTAAAGATTCTCGTATCACTGCCAAGAACCACAGGGACTTGAGAATTTGTTACAGCTATATTTGACCTAAACTAAGGTGTTCAGAGAAATTTTACGTCTTTTAGGGGTTTAGATCGACTTTTGGTAAAAATGACACCCCTTTGATTTTTAGTCGATCTAATCACCTAAAACATGTAAAATTACTCAGAACACCTTAGTTTAGGACAAACGCTCAGGTCCCTGTGCCAAGAACTAGCTTTGAGCAGTAAATATGCATTGGAAACGGATTTTCCCGACGTCTATCGCTTTTATAAAATACTTCTGAAAAGAAAACATGTTTGTGGAACTTTAACTGCCTGGTCAACGAAAATCATTAAAACCCAATGTACTAGTATTCAAAAACAATATTTACTTCATTCCATAAACTTCATACATTGAACAGTATTCATGGGTTTAGTTTAATAACATGAATTTTTTATCAACCCATGCATATTTAGAGTAGAAAACATTTGTTCTTCAGCAACATTACAAAGAAACTACATAGCCTGTATTACTTTGAAGTTGATTTTCAATTGTAACGTATATATGTTACCTTATCAGCCAGAAATATAAATATTCAGAAACCTGAAATATAATACAATGTACAGATAATTATTAATTTTGTGAACTTATAATTACAGAGCTGTGCCATTATCAGCAATGGACTCGCAAAAATAGTCATAAATCATGTTATTACCAATACTATCAACCAACCTTTATTTACATAACAGAGCTGACAGCAGAATAAAATCTGTGTATCTTTGTGTGAAATACAAATCAAATTTTACATCATATTCAATTGATATGATATTTGATAGGCAAGTCATCCAATCTTTAGACAAGAAAGTTGAAACATGATAGCCCTTTTCTAAGTTTTTTATGATAAGCGTGGAATTTCTTTTCGGGGGGTGTTGATGCACCTAAATTTCAACAACGGTCCAGAACGACTTTAATAAAAATGGGCCAAAATTGCCCCAGTCCTCCCTTAGTAGAACATGCTGTGTTTAGTACAATTGTATACACTTTCGCCCAGTGAAAACTATACTGATTCAAGACATACAGTTGGCACCCATGTTTGATTGACTGTGGCATCGATTCGATCGGAGCTCCAAGTAGACGAGGCGCTCTACACTCAAATTCAACAACCATATTTTTCATATTTTATCCCAAATTACACTATCAAAACAACCAATACAGTGAGCATCAACATCTCATGAAACAAAACCAGAGTCTAGAGTGTCTGGTTAATAACGTTGTATCTGGTTGGCAAAACTGATTACGTCACCAACTAAATTCACTCAGTATTCATTTTGAATTAACACATTATACAACAATGTTATACTTCAGTTTATCCTGTAAGCTATAGAATAATACCACGGCAATGAGAACAGTTTTAAAATACAGGTCACGTATCTATCGAAATCTTAACGGACAAACCACGAATACATTTTGGTATCAGAATAAATGTTGGCATGTTCATGCACACTTTATGAAAAACTACCGTGCGTTTTCATTCAAAAACATTTTTTGAAAACATATCAATTTTAAAACAGTGAACTATGGTTTTGACGTATAAGCTATATTATATAGGTGGTGGAAGGGTCATGCGACATGATTTTCGGTTAATATCACGTGATAAGTAATAATGGGCGTAGTGTTCTATATACAGAAAACCACGGTGAAATATTTTCTGTAATATTTTGCTTGAAGTGTGACAATAATCACCAAAGACAGATAATTTGTCTTACTGATATGAGGAATGATTTCATCAAAGGAAAATACTTCTGTAAATTCTTCAATTTCCTATTTAATGGTGTCAGCGTCTAAAAGGGGGAAACATGCAATGGGCTTACATATAACAAGAACTATCTTTAAACCGATAAACGGCGGAGTTTTGATGTATGTAGTTATAAGTCGGAAATCACTGTGTACCTATGACATTGCTTAAAATCATATTATGAGACGAATAATTATCAAAGTGATCGATAACTGCATCATGAAGAATTTTACGATCGTTCAACGGGAGATAACTTGTGTCTATTACAAGCTTATATGCATGTGTCGCCGCCTACTCAAATATTGAGCGGGATATCGTATATCAATATGTGGATTCGGTGTTACTTTTGTGTCATCTACATCATGTAATCGTTACAAGAGATGGACTGTAAGATTTCGTGACATGACTTCGTGTCCATTTTGAGGCATGGATAAGAAGCGATCACAGTGCGGTTTGTATTTAAAACCAAACTTTAGTGCCAGTTAAGAATTGCATTTGTAGGGTTTTTTTTCATAACATACTACATAAACTTTCCACAACATGTACAGACACAATGCTCTTTCGTCAAATATCGTTTGTATTCATGCAATCGGCGTTTGTTCTCTCAATGCAGTTTTGATGCTCATCGCTTCCCCATCAAACATCATCCCCATCCCACTATAAATCCTTGCACCCTTTCTCTTTCTTTTCCCTGCACATTTTATACTTTATATATATTTGTATTTATTTATATGAATTATAATATTGTCAGTACTGATCCATAGCTGCTGTTTTGTCTATAAGGAGACGGATGTACTTGTTTCTGGATCCTTTTCTGTATTTATAACCATGTACTATTGTAATTTAACATCAATAACATCAATAAAATAAAGTTTCAACTAAAACCAAACTTTAATTTATAGAGATTGTTATCCAAATATATATTAGTTAAAAGACGCAATGAATTCCAAAACGATCCAAGCGATTCTTCCACATTCGATTTTAAACGGCTCTGCCAAACACTTTTCTATGCTATCTCAATGTAATAAGACATCAAATATTACTCCTGGTCTTGGGGAAACAAACTAAAAAAAGCTGAATCAAATAGGGCAATACCCCCTACCACATGCTTCTTTCCTTTATCATCAGATTGTAGTAATAATATCTAACGTTAAAAGTAGTTGAAGACTTTATTTGAGCCTAACGCCAAAAGTTTAAGCGGTGCTTACTAAACATCACCAACATTGTTTTAAGCCAATCAGAGATTGTCATACAATGGTTTGAGAATATGTTTTAATAGATGGCTTATCCGAGATCATGTATATATTATATGCATCAATATGAAGATGACAGAACTCATGTGTATACGACAATAGAAGATTTCAAGTAAAGGCGGATCGTAATGTTGCCAACTGTATTCATTAATATTATTATTATATGATATTTGATATAGAGTAATTGCAAGAAGTTTAAGTTGCTCGGATGTTCCGAATAAACAAACAGACCCTGCTTATTATTAAAGGTCAGCTAGAATGCGTTAAGTTAAAAGAATCTGTCTATTCTCATAACTATCCAGGTTTATGTCCTGTTTCTTTGTATAACACCGTCTGTACTTTTGCTCTGCATGCATTTATAAATATAAACATACGATGGCCGACAAGAGCCTGGCAAAAAGATGTGAATTTTCATATCCTTTTGTACCATGGTACACTTTTATATGGTACACAAAGATATTAAAATTCAAATCTTTGTGTACCATGTAAAAGTGTACCATGGTACACAAAGATATGAAAATTCAAATCTTGGTGTACCATGTAAAAGTGTACCATGATACATAAAGATTATAAACAACTTTATAAATGTACCAACAGCCGATATCAGCCGATATCAGCCGGCAAAAAGATACGAAAGCTTCTCTCTTTTTAGTACCGCGTTGCACTTTTTTCATTTCTTTTTGTACCACCTATCCCCCATCTCGATACTTTTTTATAGGGTGATGCAGATATGTTTCAAACAAACATCAGTATCATACATTCATAAAAAAAAAAAGGTTTGGAAACAATAAGTAGAAATCTCCTAAAATTTCCTCCCTTATTCCTCTTTCCACCTCTCTCTTCGCCATTTTTCGTTTCTCTTTGTTGTCGTTTTTCTCAATTAACACGACTATATGTTTAACATTTGTTTCACCACGTGTTATTTATGGTGATTGCATTGCCAGGTAAGGCCTAATGATTATATAAGCTGTGAGAACGTCTGCCAATAAACTTGATTGTTTTGTTATCAGTAGAATGTTGTAATGTCTAGACGAACACCTCTTAGTGCTTGCCGACGGTGTTATTTGTTTACAATAACGTACGACTATTTAAAATGTATTAATATGAAAGTTTTATTAAGATATGTATTTGATATCATAGGTCTCACACTGCAAAATTTTGGAATTTAATGACCTTTAGATAGGTGACTGTTATCATATTGATTTTACTTTTATGTACACCGGAAATATCCCCTTCTTTGTAAAACGTTAAATTTGAATGAACTGTGCGAGCTTTCGTTCTTTGGGTTATATCTTTGTGAGCAGAGATCTGTATGGATATATCGTAACCGTTGGTATGCAAAGGCGTAATCGGGTCGATGTTTCCTGTTCGGATGTATGTATTTTGGCTAATCACTTCCAACTTCATTGACGTCCCAGCAGCTTTGTCAGCCACTTGTTATGACTTTGTGAGTCAGACACAATGCGTCCAGTACAATGCCAGGTTAACAGGTCTAATGTTGACATACATATATCATTTATATGAACATGTAATAAAAAGAAACCTGGTTTCAGTAATTTTATAACATATGACAAAGGATTTTATTTATATTTGGTTAATATATTTATTGCGATTCAAGCAAAAACAAAATATCAGTAACAGTATCAAGGGAAAAGCACGTGACATCACAAGAAAGTGTAGAATGACAGGACTCACTGACCACCGAGTCGGCGGTCTCACAACACAAGCTCAGGCTTATAGTCGTCATATCACTATTTTAGGCAAGTACGTGTTGTTTTGTTAAAAAGAAAGTTCGATTCTTTAAAAAAATAAAATCCTAAGTCATATCATGCAGATTTCACGACTTGGTTTTGAGGCCACTTAGGAAGTTGCCAGATATCTGTACCAAATCCAGTAACTTGGTATTTCTAGGGATTGTTTCACACATACAACTGTATAACGTTACAACACCATGTGTATTATACTGTAATATTTCTAAATTTGTTACCGCTGTCTGCTGACTGCATGGAAGGATATATCAACAAATGCCTTTTTGTCGACTTTGAGGCCTGAAAAGCTGAACATGTCATATTACAAGCGACAATTTTTGCCTAGCTGGAAAGCAATATTCAAGGTACAAAAACATTTTTATTTATTTTTACATAATTTTGACAGACTGTATTTCTGTGTGCTATAACTGTGTGCTATAATGTTCATAATTATATTTCTGCATCATTCCATGGGACTATATGTAATTACAGGTTTAGACAAAATTGCAAGTGTTTGCTTATTCCGGTGCATTTTAATTATGTAGTTTTCTTCTTATTTGTAAAATAACAGATTTTTTTTCATCTATAGATATCTCCAATGAAGTTGTAGATTTTTTTAAATCCCCATGTTAATATTATGCCGAAACATCGCTTGAAGTTTTAACGTGATTTTTTTATCAATGCCTCCTTGAGCCGGAACGTATTCGCTTCGAATATTTGGTTTTGTTAATATTTATCTACTTAATATATGGAATATGGCTGGTTTGTCAGGAAACCGAAAATTATAATACATTGTTTCACCAATAAGATATTACCTTATACGATTAATGCTGATACAGAGATTACAAAACAAGCTTATTATGTTTCCATCTCTGTTAATATATTAACATGTATCAGGAATTCAAGCAAACTATTGTCGCATTTATTAAATTCGTTTTACCATTAACAATTCATAATTAGTGAATACACTTATATTAAATAACAAATATATTGACAACACTTTATAAGGAAAAAACGACCTGACACTTAACAAAGGACAATCGTCAGCATGGGGAATGGTTAAGGCAGAGTAGGGCACCATTTACAAGGTTTAAGTGCCAAACATATGTTAGCAGATCATATCTCGATGACTTGTGGTTCTAATTCAATTTCTCAGCTTTATCAGCATTTTAGCCTCATCAGCTGCCAGCTTCCTGCATTATTGCATATGTATACGTCTCAGATGATAATTCATATTTTCTTCTAAAATAGATAACATAATATTGAATATAGAACCACACGTAGTCTTCAAAATAAGCTTGAACCGATCAGTGTTTACATAATTACACTCAAATTTAATAAGGCACATACATTAATTCACGTTTCGCTTAATGTAATGATTGCAAGTTTTGTTTTTTAATATTGTTTAATGTTTCACCTGGTAATATATATTGCATGTTTTTAGCGCTTAAAGAATAACACAGCACATGAAATTCATGTCGACTTCTGGTTCTTGTTTCTTTATCAGGGGAGATGACTCCTCAATCTTCATGCCGTTGAGTGTCTTGGACTGTTCGTCACTGACCTGTAGAAGGCAAGCATCATATTTACATAAAGTCATATTTCCACAAATATATTTCTTAAGTTTTCATGCCAATAATGTCGATCATTAAATTGCTATACAGGGTTTCTTAAATAAGGAATGGTTTGTTAATTAGTAAACCTCACTCAAATTATGTACATTGTACTTTTGATTTTAAATTGAAGGTCCTTTTTCTCGTTTCTCATATCACCTATATATACGTTATTTTCCACTCTCTGGTACATATTAATATAATAAGCCGCATGTTTTCAGTGATCTCTGAGCAAGAAACATGGAATCTACTTTTAAAAAGGTATAAGATAACAATATTGCACGGTACTGTGGCTAATGTCTTTTTTGATGAATTTATTAATGACTTTTCAATCACCTATTAGCCGGGACATACTGAAGTCCTTACAAATGGTAGTTGTTATTCCCTGCTTAACGTTCAGCATTAAGGAGAATGGCAACAACTGGTTCACCCGTTGTCAGTATAAAGTGACTGGGCAGAATGCTGTACTTGGTGCCTTCGGCATGGCATTTCAGTGGTATAGCACTATAAAGTCGGCATCAGATCTGCGCTACCACAAGGAGGCAATGGCACCTACATACCCTGTCTCCTGCATACCAACACCTAAGCACGCATACACTACACACAAGGAGGCACGTCCTTAAATGGCTTTAGCTGTTAATAGGACGTTAAACAAAATCAAACCAAACGAAACCAATCTCGCTGTAGCCTACACGACGATGCTGCTGTTTAATATAAATAGAAGGTTGAGAGACTTGTATTACGAAACCTTCCTTTTATATTATATTGTTAATCATCAGATACATGTTTCAGATGTGAAAAACAGTTATGTTTCTTTTACAAATTGGCAAGTCGTAGTAGTTAATTTTAGATGTATATATTGTTCTTTTTTTCCATTTTAATGCAAATTCTTTAAAAATAGCATCATTTGTCAAATTTGACTTTTGACCTTTGATTACTTTTAAATTGACATTACGTATAGCCCTACATTGTTATAAGGTATGAAAACATAGTGACAAATTTGATCATGGTTGACCTATATGTTGATAATTAATCAGCATAGCTTAACATTACTGTAAAACGTATCTATTTATTTATTTATTTATTAATATACTATGGAATTTCTGTCTTCTATTACTTTTTTTCAGCAGAAGATATCACATACGAGATAGTTACACATGTACGTGTTCATTAGCCTCTTGCTTTTCCTTTCAACCTTGTCTCTGATTGGTTTTGGTTTGGTTTGATTATGTTTTACGTCCTATAATTAACAGCTATGACCATTTAAGGACGTGCAAGGTTTTATTGATGGAGGAAAGCCGGAGTTCCCGGAAAAAAACCCACCAACCTACGGTCGGTATGACTGTTCCAAGTAGGTCTCGAACCCGCGACCCAGTGGTAGAGGGCTAGTAGTAGCAGAATGTCAGACGCCTTACCTTAGCCACCGCGGCTCCTATCTCCTATTGGTATGGACATTGTCATAGAACATGTTACGATACATTTCGGCATCGCAAAGTATTTTCACGTGCGTTGTAGTCATTAGGGCATTAAATTGACCAAAGAAAATGTTCTATGGTATTATACGTAGCTGTGGTTTCCGTGCTATGCTTACATACACAATGAAATTGTTCAAGATAGGTATAGAGTTAGAAAACATAAACTAGTTATGGTAGAAAAATTGAAATTTATTTTATATTTAGCGGTTACACATGTGTAAAGGATTTGATCAACTTGCAGAAAGTGATAACTTTCTCCTAATGATTTAAACATAACGAGTATTTCATTCAATTACCTCTTTCCCAACTTGTTCATCAATAGCCGTCTTTTCGCTAGGAGTCCCGTCCTGGCTGTCCTCTGTCTCCTGAGTTATCTCTTCCTGCTCCTTTACAGGGGTCACTTCCAAAACTGCTGGCACCACCTCATCAGCGATCTCCTCATGAGCAGGTTCTTGAACGCTGACTCCTATATCAGTTGCGTCTTCTGCTTCCTGTATGTCGTGGTTTCCACTGTTGTTTTGGTGTTCCTCTGGAGTTTTACCGTTTTCAGTGTCGTGGTTTCCACTGTTGTTTTGGTGTTCCTCGGGACTTTTACCGTTTTCAGTGTCGTGGTTTCCACTGTTGTTTTGGTGTTCCTCTGGAGTTTTACAGTTTTCAGTGTCATGCTCGTCTTTGGATTGTTGCTCAGAAGTCGCCACGTCTTGTTCTGCGGCTGGCGACCCGTCAACACTCTTTACCTCCTCTTCCAAAATGACATCCTTATCAGAATTTCCCTTGTTCTTTCGCTTAAAAAATGGGAAAGGCATCTGGAAAACAAAGTATATTCCTTAGCACCAACCAGTCATAAATTGCTAGTTAGCACTCCTTTCAAAGCACAAACATATAACACCTATCTTTTTAACTGGAGTAGCGGTCGCCATCATGACCTTCTGACTCTCATGATATCTTTATGAGTTTTTGGTTTATTCTTTTGTAATGAAGCAATGGTATATATTGTTTACTTTCCAATTATGGTATATGTGTTTCAGTATCTAATATGAGTGAACTCGTTGTATTCATCAGGTTTCGTCTCTTTTATTTACATGTCTCCGTTTTTTTCTCCCGTTGTCTTTGTTAACCAATATTGTGTTCTACTGTCATCCTTTTGTGTTTTTAATCCTTGATGATTTTTAAAGTTTACTTTAGGTGCAGTACTCACCTCTTCTGGATCTAAATTTTCCTGATCTTCGGTGTCGATAAGGGGAGGTAAATCATCCACGTAGTGCAAGTCGTCAGTGACAGCCAGGGAAAGTGTGGAGTCGAAGTCCGACTCGATAAGGGGCCGCTCGTCCGCCGGTACAACAGCTTGTTCTGCGGGAAACAGTACACACGTATATGATACAAATTACGACATAATATGTAGAAACAGTAGACAGCATTATATAACCGTATTGTGTACTAAAGGGAATATAATGTGCACAATAAAAATGTTTTACAAGCAACACTTAATTGTAAACAATAGTATGTGTGCATGGGCAACACTATAAACTCTACAGTATTTTCTGTGAGCAGCAATATGAACAAACAACTGAATTTGTAGGCCACACTATAAGCATAACAGTGTGTGCTATGGACGACAATACATACACAATACTGTGTTACAAAGTATCACGAACAGTGTGTCTATGTATGGTAATTAAATAGTGTCCGTGGTAACGGTACTATGAAAATAAATAGACACACAAGAGGACAGTTGCTAGTGCTTTTGGCGATTTATGATTCCATCAGTCAATGAATGTTTTATCAAGACAACAAAAATACACATTTGAAGGACGCCATCTTTTCGTTATTATAAAATGAGATACAAGATGTACTGTTGTCTCTGTTCACGGCTTTTCACCTTGTGTCAAGTTCAACCTTGGAAACAAAATCAACCGTTATGTTACTATCGCGCTGATAGTCAAAAATTACATTGTATCTCACATACTCTAGTTTTCATATTTAAAGAAAGAGGAGGGGGGGGGGGGGCACTTCTTCTTGCAAAGTTAAAATTCCTTTCAATTTTATTGGCAAGAAAAGTCGTTTCTCCCATTTTTGAATCTAAAACTAAAGTATGGGGGTAACTTTTTATGTCGTTTTACTTGACTCTCAGTGCGGTTGTACCGTAAGGGTTTAATTTTGTTTCTAAGATTGTGTAACATTATTAACTATGAACGTGAACATAATATTGTGCTTAGGGGTAATAATTAATATAATGAAACATATATACACAACATCGTGTTGATGGGCAATAATACATAAACATAACATCTAGTTAATGAGTAATTACACATACATAATGTATATACACAACATCGTGTTTATGGGTAATTATACATATATACACAACATCGTGTTTATGGGCAATAATACATATATACAACATCTTGTTGATGGGTAATATATTATACATATATATACAACATCGTGTTTATGGGCAATAATACATATACACAACATCTTATTAATGGGTAATAATACATATATACCTAACATCGTGTTGATGGGAAATGATACATATATACACAACACCGTGTTGATGGGAAATGATACATATATATCCAACATCGTGTTCATGGGCAATAATACATATATACCCAACATCGTGTTTATGGGCAATAATACATATACACAACATCTTATTAATGGGTAATAATACATATATACCCAACATCGTGTTGATGGAAAATGATACATATATACACAACATCGTGTTGATGGGCAATAATACATATATACAACATCTTGTTGATGGGTAATAATACATATATACCCAACATCGTGTTGATGGGCAATACTACATATATACACAACATTGTGTTGATGGGCAATAATACATGTATACACAACATTGTGTTGATGGGCAATAATACATATATACACAACAGTGTGTTGATGGGCAATAATACATATATACACAACATTGTGTTGATGGGAAATAATACATATATACACAACATTGCGTTGATTGATGGGCAATAATACATATATACACAACATTGTGTTGATGGGCAATAATACATATATACACAACATCGTGTTTATGGGAAATGATACATATACACAACATCGTGTTTATGGGAAATGATACATATATACACAACATTGTGTTTATGGTAAACGACACATATATTCAATATTTTGTTTCATGAATAACAATACATATGTACGCAGCACTGATTTCATTGGAAATCTTAATAATCCCTACACATTGTACAGGTAGAGAAGAGATACAGCAGGGATACACACGCGCTTATTACCTAATCCATAAGTGATCAGTTTACAAAAAATACATTGCGTGTGAAACAAATACATTTAGTCATGAAACCATGAAACATAAATCCCAATTTGTACACAAAATTGTTGTTTTGCATTAAATATCTACTTCAACATTCTAGACAGCAAAACATGATTGTATATCAACATCAGGTGTGTTTTGTAAACATCTGTTGGATATGTAACACGCATGAATCATCATGTCGACCTACATCGTGAACACACCAGTTTTATAACATTTCTCCCCTTTTTTAACTCTAAACAAATCTCGTCGGAATGGACTAATTTAAAAGGCAAATGAAGCAATATTTTGTTACTGCAATAAATTACGTATTTCAATATGCTTTTTATTGGTCTCAAGAAATCAACGTTGAAACATAAAGTATATATTTACGTTTACATTATATTTTTATTATAAGAAACAATTTAAGGTTTGAAATCCACTTGTTAAACATTCAAGGTGATATGCCACACAGTTTCACAGTACAAACAAACATATTCCATGATGCACGTTAGAACATGTTTTTACGGTAGTTTATTGCTTAACATAATGAAAGTTAAAGGACTTATTTCAGTCCGTACAATTACGTTAAACTAAAGAAAATTAAAGTTGGATCTTTCTGTGTGGTTTCATTCGGTTCATAACATTTAAGACAAATTATTTCAACCAATGGTGAAACAATATTTTTTTAGTGCGAGAACACGACCGTGCTTTTTATAGTTACAAGTTCTGTAAGCCGACCACTGCTGTTTAGAAGCCATTCTAAATTTTCTTCGAAACTTCAACTTGTCGTCACACAATGACTATTCAATAAAAAAAAAAACCCAATGGGTAATGTACAAAACAATCCCCAAAGGAAGGTCAACAAAGGTCAATGTGTTTTAAGGATCTACAAGTTCCCTAACGAGTGATGGTTTGTTATCATATTTATCTTACTCGAGTTAGTTAATTTTCAATTTGTATAAAAGACACCAACCACATGTCTTTTACAATTTGAACATTAACTAACTAGCTAACATGCTAACCAGCCACCATGGGTGATATTTTTGTTAAATGGCTAACCCCTGTATAATGATATGTAAAACAAATATGAAAATAAAACTGTACTAAAATTGGTATATGCATGATGAAGTGGGCTATGTGAGCTTCACATTTGTAAAACAAAAAGAAGATTTTTTTAGTTCGAGAATAAAATTATGGCCATAATCCGAAAGCTAGCTTTACAGGAGGTAAAATTTTGACAACAGCACACGACGCAAAATTGCAAAAAATCAAGTTGTACAACTTTACTGGGACCCAGATAATTCTGCAACCAAGTAGGTAATCTTTAATTTCAGACAGAACTTAGGAAAAAAAATACTAGTTGCGGGGGTCAAATTTTGGGGCAAAAATAGCATTATTTGGCATTTTTTGGTAATTTTTGATGTGGTAACCATGGTTTCCACACAAGTGACATACATAGAAAAAAAGGGTTTATACACTTCTCAGTACTTTATATGTATTGTAAATATAATGCAGTTTACAAATATATATACATGTATATATGAGTTGTGTAGGGTAAATCCGCTGTGGTTTTTTTTCAGAGTCGGGCCATTTCTACTGTACACTGCTACCTTATGTCGACCACCTACGAGAAGAGTTCCTCACTTAAAGTGCTACAGAAGTGAAATAAAATGTATTATTACATTACATATATGTTTAAGGTGAAAAGAATAATCAAAATAAGCTAATTAATTGTTTAATACACTTGCAATCAGGTTGATTTACTATCCCAATTCGTGGAGACGTTTTCTGTGGTCAATATGACAGTATGGACACTTGATACGGGCATGATGGTAAATCTAATGGACAAACACATCGCATTAAGTAATTCAACAAATGATCGAATAACTACACAGGTATTACACATTCCAGGCGAAGTTTGGGGTCTGTTGATGGCTTATGACGGAATTCGTCTTTGACAAATAGTAATATTATCCCTTTCATGAGAATCCGTAGGAAGCATTTGCATATTTTTAAACCACACAACAAATACGCTCGCTTATAGTTCCAGTCGATCCAAAATAATGTTCCACTGCAAGTTGTTGATGTTATATTTGATCCATCCATGTTGTTTTACAAAAATACAATTTACACACAGTTTTACAGGAAAATGCGTACTTATTGCACACTCAAACTTATCACTTCGTCACTTTTTCCTCAACCATTTGAACAATTTAGTTATATTACCTAGATAAATCGTCCGACGCCTACAGCGGAAAACGACTACAGTCAGTCATACACAATTTATCCTATTAATTATTGTATCTGTACGTGCATATAGGTGTATAGGCAGACAGGTAGTGAAACAGCTGTGTACTGATAATCATTAATTTACCTCCACAAACGGTGAAGCGATCAATATATGTTAACTAGTATGAAACTGTATAACTATATGTACATCAAGTCAAATAAAAATGTTCACCGAAATATTTTGCAGAATTATACAGTTGATATTTCAGATCTCTATACAGATAGGACTCATTTTATTGCATACCTTGTACATTTTACTTTAGTTAAAATCAGTTTTCAGGCCAAGCCATAAACAAGCCATAAAAAGGTTCGTCATTATACGTGTCGCAAAATAAGCGTGTTGCTTCTCCTTTCACTTTTCTATTATCTCTAACGCCATGGTAACCTGACGTCATTATTTTCTCATCGACGCTGATTTGAGAAGCAAAAGAATAATTTATAATATATTACGGATACGTGATTCGCTTTTCTGCAGAAGTAAAACAACATGCACACCATTGTCTCACGTCACTGACTGCACTCATTTATTGTGCGAATGTATGTGTCATGTATCACCTTGTGCACTGCATGGCGCAGTAGCAGCTGCAGTTATACTTAACATATACTTATATTTAAAACGAGAAGTTTTGTTGTGCAATGGCTTGTTTTGTGTTGAGGTCCTCGCTACAGCCAAAGATTTAAATGACCCACCGAAATAGTGTTTGTGTATGTGAATGTTTAATTAACGTCCTATCAACAGCTATGGTCATTTAAGGACGGCCTCTCCTGTGTGCAAGATGCATGCGTGTAGTGTATGCGTGTGTGTTGTGGGAGGCTGCGATATGTTCGTGTTTGTCTCCTTGTGATAGCGTTGAACTGATGCCGACTTTATAGCGCTACCTCACTGAAACATACTGCCGAAGACACCCAGCAGGACACCCCACCCGGTCACATTATACTGACAACGGGCGAACCAGTCGTCCCACTCCTAAATTGCTGAGCGTTAAGCAGGAGTAGAAACTACCATTTTTACAAACTCTGGTATGTCTCGACCAGGGGACAGAACCTAAAAGACTTCCTTACAGTGGCGAACGCTCAACTAAAGGCCAAAAGTGAGGCATTGTCAAGGGAGACATTAGGAAGAAGAAAATTGTTTAGAAAGAAGAGAAAATATAAGATCCCAAATTTAGTCGCCTCTTAGTTTTGTTACCCTTAAAAGTCAAGGAAGGGGAGGAGGGTTGGTTCTGATGAGAACTTTCATGCACCAACTTCGTAATTCTAGGGTTGTGCTGTCTTACGATCTGTGCAGAGAGAGGGTAACCCCTGGAATTTCCAGGACGCCGTGACCCGATGCAGCGTTATAAAGCCCACAGTAAGGCGAGTTGTCCAATGCCACTAAATTAACTTGTAGGTGTAAATTAGTAATTTATGGTAAGAGAGCCAGAGGATGTTACTTACCGTTGTTGCATCTCACCACCACTGGGGAACCTTTCCCGTCACACTTCCTCGCCTTCTTCTTCTCCTTGACTGAAAAAGACACGTTTACGTGCTAAATTTAACGAATCATCTATACGTATGTCTTAAATCACAAACTCATTTCACAACACATGCTTCTTTTTCAACTATAAAACGATATCATTTATATCTATTTACAAAAATTAAGATGGAATGAGAAATTGTTCATTAAAAGTATCTGGTGACATATTTAACAGAAAAAACTAGGACCAAAGTGAGATTGAATTTCGAAATTTATTGTTGCGCTAACAACCAGTCAAGGGCATACAAGATATGACCATCTTACAACCACAAAATTACATGGGCTATGCTCACTTGAATTGGGTTCTCAGCATCCCTGGAATATATCCAAATCGGAGGCATGCTTTTAGCGATTTGATTGGTTCCAGATGAAAAAAATGACCAATCGATTCGCTGATACGTAGCCTTTCAATATTATAAAGGAGCAACATCCGACTTAAAAGCCAGTCAAAATGACCCGTTAGGGTGCAGCGCTATTCTTTTGATGTATAACAGAAGGTCAACTAACCTATTTGTATCATCCACAAGGAGGTGCGTACAACGCCCTCGATTTCGCCAGGACATATTTGAGGGGTGTAGAGGCTGTGCGAGAGTTTAACCCCTGGTGTATCGAGGATGGGTCTTACCGTGTTTCTGACTTAAAGCACGACGGTCGATTTATATGATAGATGAGTATCAAGTCATATTCTACTTTTTATTACGTTATGAAGTATAAACAGATGTTATCTTTCATCACTAAGCCATATTATTGATTTTCATTAAATGTCATTCTACACACATCAAGCTAATAACACAGTGATGATTTTACGTCACTTTATAACACGTGTAATCGATCTTTGATAGTGTAAACAATTTGAGCTATAAAGTTCACCACGTTCAACAACATTAAAAATAACTACGAATTTTTTAGAGGGTGTCAAATTTCAATATTTAAACGATTGTTCTAACAAGAGATGAGAAGTCTTGTCAAGCATGTACTTATCGTACTTTTGGATCGAAATTATGCTTATTAATATTTTAAGTGCATGAAGCGACTACATTTTTTTTTTTAAAGTATCTTCAAAATCTTCAATATTATTTATTCAGAACCAAAAATTGAGATATTTTCTCACACAGTACTCATTTTGACAACTTAGACTTCCGCTTTCCATTTCGTTTGATTATTTTCGACCATTGGTTATGGGTTAATTGTTTAGAAAGGGCTTGTGCTGAATGTGATATACCCTTCTATTTTCCCCTAAAACAATTATCAGCGTCTCACCGTCTAAAACATCTGTAACACTTGACTATAAAAACAGTGTATTCATACTACAACACTCTTGAAGACTTACTGCTACCTCAAGTACCAAGATCCTAGATACAAAAGTGCAGACTCACACCTACATTCAACTGTTCTTTTTTTATAACATTCTGTTACATAGTTTTATGACTTTTCTTATGATACAGCCAACACTAAACGTACACACCTTTCCCCCTAAAAGCAGATTGTATTCATTTTGTAAAACTGCCTTAACGTCTTCTCTCTGAGGATCACTCGGGATACTCAACATTCTCATTTTTGATAACCTCCATATCTGACTGCCATCCTTTCAATTCGTACATGTCCTTTACAGTTCACTTGGCTCGAGATGCTCTCCTCTAAAGCTGGCAATCTTATAATACATTGTACCTGGTTTATCGCTGTTTTCATTAGGAATTGTTATTAGGTTTGACCATGTTCTTACATATAATACGAGGCCATTTTTCTCTCATCCTCGATATCCATGGGTTACGCTCACTTTCGCTCTCTACACCCCTGGAATATGTCATAGCAAAATTGAAGGCACGCGGCTAGCTATGTGATTGGTGTCAGGTAAAAATCCTGACCAATTACTAGGCTGATGCTTGTTCTTTGAAGATTACAGAGGAGCAACGCCCGACTTCAAAGCCAGTAAGTTTTACCGTTACGCGACCGCGAAATTCTTTTTTATGTGCATCAAAGGATCAAATTAGTCTTCTCGTCTCGTCCACAAGGTGCTTCACACCGAGTCTTTGATTTTGCTATGACATATGCCAGGGTTGTAGAGAGCGAAAGTGAGCATAACCCCTGGATATCGAGGATGTTTTTCTCTATGTGGCCTTTTCTGCTCTATTGTATAGAAAGTGCTTACAATATCTATATATGTAATCCTCTCTTGCCTTTCGTACCATTCAATGTAGTCCCCTCATTATAAACCTACTAACAAGTTCCTGTTGTCTGCCTCCCTTTCACACATAGAACTTACTATTCTGTGTTATATGTCGTCCCTCATTGTGTTACTTTCAGTTCACTGCCATCTGTCGTTTATTGTGATAGTCCTACGTAAGAGTTGCTGTTCCCTGTACCCCTTTATACATGTATGCCTTACCATTCTGCTACCTGCCCTTCTTACGGGCCTTACCATTCTGCTACCTGCCCTCCCTTACGAGTCTTACCATTCCTCGCCCTCCGCTTCTTCCGGTTTCTACGTCTTCCTCCTACAAAGAGTCCGCGAGACTCGGCATCGCCTAGAATCACTTGGTTAAGTGCGTTTTGGATCTTTAGTTTGAGGGGTCGGTGCATACTATTGTTCACGGGTCTGTTGGCGAGGTTGTTAGAGTAGCTGCATACTGTTCCTGTAATAGTCAACACAAACATTTAGGAGGTCGTACCGAATTCTGTCAAGGTACATTCTACGATATTTGAATTTCCATCTGCGTAGTACAATATCGTAGACAGCATATAAGTTTTAGAGTAGTAACATACTTTCTGTGTGTTTATTGTAACATTCCATGATTAATATGATAACATTTTTATTATTATTATTATTATTTTATCTAATCGTCTTGTCTATCTTTCAATTACTATATACACGTTGACTGTGAAAAACATCAACGACTCCGACAGCCTCATATTTGACCAAACATAATAACAAGTTTCATTTTGGGAACTCGCTTTATTCGACTTCGAATTTTTTTCCACGATTCCGTCGACTACGAAAAAGTTCAACTTTATTTCTTAATTAGATATTGGATTAGATGAGTCAGGAAATGATGTCACCTTCCAGTCGTTCAAACCCCGCAAAATAGTTCAATGGTAATTCAACACAATATTTTCAAGTGGTATTCAAAAGTTTTAAAATAAATATAGGCATTGGGATTTAAAACAAATACTTGAGATTGAAAAAAACTAAAAAAATATTCGTAAATTAGCGTTTAAGATTGTTTTGAGCTGATCATTGATGTATCTAAAATTTTGCAAATATTATTGTGTTTCTTAATTTCAAGTTATACAAGTTCAGTGATCAAGCATTGGACAACTGGGGCATAGACACACAACCATGAGTTCGTTAAGTTGGGTTTGGTTTGATTTTGTTTAACGCCCTATTAACAGCTAAGGACGTCATTTAAGGACGTGCCTCCATGTGTGTAGTGTATGCGTGCTTGCGTGTGTGTATTCGGGAGAAAAATATTCTGCTTGCACGATATCAACTTGAAGTAGCACTGTTCACTTACTGCCTCCAACACATTCACTAACGTTGTCATTCCTATACTCCCATACATGACCTATGAGCTGTGGTTGATATTCTTATATCTTCGGACCATACACGTACATTCCGCCGAGGTTATAAGAAGGAAATAGATTTGTACGAAATATTTTTTTTATGTGTTTGAAGTTTACTACATGATAACTATACACACAATTAAGTACACGCAATGTATGTTAATCGTTACTTAAGAAATAATCAACATATGCGCGTATGTATGGACACAATACATGGTTATCAACTCCTTGTGTCGCTTCATCTCTGACGTGGCAGAATATCCATTATTTTACTCTAGTTTCACTCTCCCCTCAATTTGTCATATCCGCCATTTTATCTGTAGATTAAAAATACGAATTCACAAGACAAGCACTTTAACATCATGACATGGACCGGGACGTTACAATTTGACATCACTGGCATTCAGTATTGTGTAATAAACCTGCCATTCTGCTTCCGGTTTGCTGTTATTATTATTTTAGATGGATATCTGAGTTCACCACGTGGATGGAACTCTGCGGTTTAATATGCATTGAGTAACATAAAAAGGTGAAAAATTAACATATGCAATACGTGTTCAACACTTGTTCCTAAATCCTTTTCATTTATGGTATCACAAGAAATCAAATAATTTCGTATGTTTAAAACATTTGATAGAAATAAAATAAAAAATCGTAGTATATGCTTGAGCGGCGTGAGAATAACATCAACAGTTTCGGATCTTAGATGTTAAGGTATAGCGGCTATGTGTTGTATTGGATTAGGATTAGTTGTACGCTTGCAATTTCAGTTAAAAAGTGACTCCCGGAACTCCTTGACCATTATACCGTTATATTGCTAGACTCGTAATTAATGTAGACACACATACATTCTTATGTTGATGACACAGATATCCATCAACACTATAAAGATGGACGTACGCGTGCCGCTAAGTGTGTGATGTAAGGCCAGTAACTGATGTCAGCCCCAGCGTCTGGGTCGGCTCGTGACGGATCGCACGCGTAATCTGGCTCGACAGGAGAATCTCTAACATCAACACCATTGTAATTTATGACGCGGGGGAGGAAGAAGGGGAGGGTGTATACACGCTAGGAGAACGATTGAGAGGTTCATGTAATTATGGTGTAACGTATATTACTGCAGATAAAATATGTCAACAAACACACATAGTGGGCATATAAGAGAAACACAGAGAAAGTACGGGATAAAGCATTGGGTTTAAAGGAGTACCCCCCAAAAACAATTTATCATTTGAATGTCTCCGACAAATGTAACCTATACCCGAAATGGACATACATAGTACTACACAACACGAACAAAGAATGTACTAAAATAAAGGAGTATGACACGCAAATAAGAATGTGATGTATACATATAATGAGGAACGGGCTTTTGGAAACTTTGGAAACTACGGGGTTGGTAGGAAACAGTTAATTAAATAGCGGATATGTACTTCAATAATGGTGGTGAACTAAAGACAAAATGACAGACGGATAGATTGATCTGCAAGCAATAGGACTAGAAACGGGACATAAAAGTGAACGATCGTTGGAAAAGAGGAAGACTAAACATAGGAGTGAACGGTCAACGGTAAGGAGGTAGGCTAAACATAGGAGTGAATGGTCGTGGGTAAGGAGGTAGGCTGGACATAGGAGAGATTGGTCGTGACTAAGGAGGTAGGCTGGACATAGGAGTGAATGGTCGCGGGTAAGGAGGTAGACTGGACATAGGAGTGAATGGTCGTGAGTAAGGAGGTAGGCTGGACATAGGTATGAATGGTCGATGGTAAGGAGGTAGGCTGGACATAGGAGTGAATGGTCGTGGGTAAGGAGGTAGGCTGGACATAGGAGTCAACGGTCGTGGGTAAAGAGGTTGTCTGGACATAGGAGTGAATGGTCGTGGGTAAAGAGGTAAGCTAGATATAGGAGTAAACGGTCGTGGGAAAGGAAGTAGGCTTGACATAGGAGTCAACGGTCGTGGGTAAAGAGTAAAGAGGTAAGCTAGATATAGGAGTAAACGGTCGTGGAAAAGGAGGTAGGCTGGACATATGAGTGAATGGTCGTGGTTTAGCAGGTAGGCTGGGTATAGGAGTGAACGGTCGTGGATAAGAAGGTTTTCTGGACATATGAGTCTTGTCGTGGGTAAGGAGAGAGGCTGGACATAGGAGTGAACGGTCGTTGGTAAAGAGGGAGGCTGGACATAGGAGTGAACGGTCGTGGGTAAGGAGAGGGGCTGGACATAGGATTGAGCGGTCGTCGGTAAGGAGAGAGGCTGGACATAGGAGTGAACGGTCGTTGGTAAAGAGGGAGGCTGGGCATAGGTGTGAACGGTCGTTGGTAAAGAGGGAGGCTGGACATAGGATTGAGCGGTCGTCGGTAAGGAGGGAGGCTGGAATAGGAGTGACGGTCGTCGGTAAGGAGGGAGGCTGTAACTAGGAGTGAACGGTCAACGATAATGAGGTAGTCTGAGCATAGGTGTGAACGGGCGTGGGTATGAAAGTATGCTGGGCAAACGAGTGACCGGTCATGGGTAAGGGGGGAGGCTGGACACAGAAGTAAACGGTCATGGGTAAGGGGGTAGGCTGGACACAGAAGTAAACGGTCATAGGTAAGGGGGTAGGCTAGACAAAGGAATGAACGGTCGTGGGTTAGCAGGTAGACTGAGCGAACGGTCGTGGGAAAGGAGGTATGCTGAACATACGAGTAAACGGTCATGGGTAAGGTGGGAGGCTGGACACAGAAGTAAACGTTCATGGGTAAAGGGGTAGGCTAGACAAAGGACTGAACGGTCGTGGGTAAAGAGGTAGGCTGGACATAGGAGTGAATGGTCGTTGGTAAAGAGGTAGGCTGGACATAGGATTGAGCGGTCGTGGGTAAAGAGGTTGTCTGGACATAGGAGTGAATGGTCGTGGGTAAGGAGGTAGGCTGGACATAGGAGTGAATGGTCGTTGGTAAGGAGGTAGGCTGGACATAGGAGTCAACGTTCGTGGGTAAAGAGGTTGTCTGGACATAGGAGTGAATGGTCGTGGGTAAAGAGGTAAGCTAGATATAGGAGTAAACGGTCATGGGAAAGGAAGTAGGCTGGACATAGGAGTGAATGGTCGTGGTTTAGCAGGTAGGCTGGGTATAGGAGTGAACGGTCGTGGATAAGAAGGTTTTCTGGACATACGAGTCTTGTCGTGGGTAAGGAGAGAGGCTGGACATAGGAGTGAACGGTCGTTGGTAAAGAGGGAGGCTGGACATAGGAGTGAACGGTCGTGGGTAAGGAGGAAGGCTGTAACTAGGAGTGAACGGTCAACGATAATGAGGTAGTCTGAGCATAGGTGTGAACGGGCATGAGTATGAAAGTATGCTGGACATACGAGTGGACTGTCATGGGTTAGGGGGGAGGTTGAACACAGAAGTAAACGGTCATGGGTAAGGGGGTAGGCTAGACAAAGGAATGAACGGTCGTGGGTTAGCAGGTAGACTGAGCATATGAGTGAACGGTTGTGGGTAAGGAGGTATGCTGGACATACGAGTAAACGGTCATGGGTAAGGGGGTAGGCTAGACAAATGACTGAACGGTTGTGGGTTAGCAGGTAAGCTGGACAAAGGAGTATACGGTCGTGTGTAAGGAGGGAGGCTGGACACAGGAATAAACGGTCGTCGGTAAGAAGGGAGGCTGGATATAGGAGTGAACGGTCGTGGGTAAGGAGGAAGGCATGACATAGGAGTGAATGGTCAACGATAATGAGGTAGGCTGGACATAGGAGTGAATGGTCAACGATAATGAGGTAGGCTGAAAATAGGTGTGAACGGTCATGGGTATGAAGGTATGCTGGACATACGAGTGGGACGGTCATGGGTAAGGGGGTAGGCTAGACAAAGGAGTGAACGGTCGTGGGTTAGGAGGTAGGCTGGACATAGGAGTGGACGGTCATGGGTAAGGTGGGAGGCTGGACACAGAAGTAAACGGTCATGGGTAAGGGGGTAGGCTGGACACATGAGTAAACGGTCGTGGGTAAGGAGATATGCTGGACATAGGAGTGGACGGTCATGGGTAAGGTGGGAGGCTGGACACAGAAGTAAACGGTCTTGGGTAAGTGGGTAGGCTAGACAAATGAGTGAACGGTCGTGGGTTAGGAGGTAGGCTGGACACAGGAGTAAACGGTCGTGGGTAAACAGGTATGCTGGACATAGGAGTGGACGGTCATAGGTAAGGTGGGAGGCTGGACACAGAAGTAAACGATCGTGGGTAAGGGGGTAAGCTAGACAAAGGAGTGAACGGTCGTGGATTAGGAGGCAGGCTGGACACAGGAGTAAACGGTCGTGAGTAAGGAGGTATGCTGGACAAAGGAGTGGACGGTCATGGGTAAGGTGGGGGGGGGGGGGGGGGGGGGGGGCTGGACACATGAGTAAACGGTCGTTGGTAAGGAGGTATGCTGGACATAGGAGTGAACGACGGAAGGGTAGGATGTAAGCTGGACATATGTTTGAACGGTCGTGAGTAAAGAGGAAGGCTGGACATAAGAGTGAACGGTCGTGGGAAAGAATGTAGGCTGGACACAGGAGTAAACGGTCGAGGGTAAACAGGTATGCTGGACATAGGAGTGAACGGTCATAGGTAAGGTGGGAGGCTGGACACAGAAGTAAACGATCGNGGTCTTGGGATCTTGGGAGTATAGAAGGTTTTATGTGGGAGGGACTTGTTATATCAGCGGGGAAGGGGGACGGGATTTAATCTCGATGTTGGTTGGGAAAAGACGGAGAAGGACAAATGCAAGATTCGTGGTTAGAGTAAGGGGTGAAAATGAGAGTTAACGTATATGTTTATACGTTCAGTATCAGTCTGCTGACGAAGATGGTAGGGGTTAGAGTGCCGAGATAAAGGAGGGAAGGGGGGGGGGGCACTTAGAGAGATAATGCATCTGACAAAGAGGGATGCACACACACACACACACATTCACACACAATAGTTTTACTGATGGGAGCGGGACTACACTTACACAGTCATACATAACTGACGGGCGCAGGCAGCATGGCATGCACGTGTAAGGAGGCACCAACGGGGAAATAATTGACTCATCACACCATGCCGATAGATCATTATAATAGCCAAATTATCAACGATTAGTAACATAGATTATCATGTCTCCTAACTAATACATAATTCAAAAATCCCTTTCCATACCGATTACATTCGTGATGATATGGCTAGCACGAAATTTCATATTAAGTTAAGCAATACCATTTTTTAATTTGCCTTTGCTTTATTATATACATTCAAGCCGCTGTATTATTTGTTACCAACGTGATGATTTAAATGATAAAAATATCCTCAGATGTATTACCAATAGGCAACGTAAGGATTTTGAAATTCCCAAACTTGGTAAAGGACGGCGTGGTATCTAGCAACCTACTGATGGATCATAAACGCTTCTAACATTACTCATCCGATAACGATAACTTCGTCTTAGAAATTCTATGCTGAAAATAACATATCTAGAAAGTCTAACTTGGGTATTAACATGAACTGATCAGGGTGGGGGAAATGACGGACGTACCTGCAGCCGGTCTGATAAGTTTGTGAAGAAGTCCCTGAAACCGTGTGTTGTATCTCTCCAGCAGTAGGCCGGTCACTCGGATCTCATTCATACTTCATCGTATCTCGCGAGATTTCGGCATCTGTAAGCAATTTGCGTTGCACGCGCCAATCCGCGGAAAGTCCGACCATTATCTTAGTCACAATAATATTGTAGTGTTTATACTTACAAAGACAAAACAAATAAATTGCTTCACTTTTTGTAAGCAATTTACACGACGAAGAGGATTGTTTCCAGATTGGTTTACATCTGCTAATCTGGACATTTTATATATGTGTACATGTATGTGTATAGCGGTTGTTTCTTTATTTCGCCTTGGCGACCTTTCGTATTTTCGTTATTTCGTTTTGACGCTTGGTGTCATTTCGCGGGCCGCAAAGCGAAGAGACGAAATGTCATATATAAGCCACCATAGTGTTTCCATAACCACCAACTATCCCGTTCAAACATTTGCAACAAATGTCGCTTTTATAGCGGGACACATGACACACTTTCGGTATAAATATGCTAAAATATTCCAAAATAGAAATATACGCATGTTTTTGTACTACGCATCTGCTAATATTTTTAAACGTATACAAAAATAATTAAATGTTGACATAAACGTCTGTCCAAAGGTGTAATTTAACATAAAATCTGCATTTGTATTAAGGTGGTACATGACACGACCGTTATAACAGGGCACATATCGAATTCAAATGGAATGTCTATATCTCATATGTATATCATTTAGCCCTAATAGCGGTAAGTGTTGTGTGCCGAAAGCTACTTCAAGGGATGCGCAGACGGAAACAAAAAACCCATAGAAACAAATAAACTTGCATCCAAATTTAAGTACATGTTAAGTACGTCTCTGTAGGAAGGAGCTTGGCTCCGGCCTTATAGGTAGGATCAACAACACCTCCAGTCAAAGATTCACTTCATATGAAAAAGACATACTTGTAGATATCACTGCAGGTGATTCTAATCCGATACACAGACGCTTCTGACCGATTAAATAAATAAGCGAATTCGAATTAAGTGGATGCAAAACTAAAATGACCCCACATGTAACCAAAACATTGACGGAGAAAGGCCTTGAGAATGTGTTTGTACGTGTTTTATGTCTATAGTATAAGAGTGATTTCACTGTAGATGATGTGTACGTAGTGTTTCTTCTGTCGAGTGAAGGAGTGCAATCGTTAAGATGTAAAATAGAGACTTTAAGCGGGGATTCATTCGGTTAAGGACGAGTAGGGGTTTCTTACAGATAGAAAGATATGGAAGTGTATTGCTATTTATAGCGTGTATCCACCCTTGGACAACGGAGGGGTTGGAGTGTCATGTGGAGACCATATTTGTCGATTTTGTGAAACATTGTCATTACATTTGCATACGAGGTGTGTCAGAATCCCCGTTTTATATCGAGTGTGCCAAGTATTGTATTGATAAACATGTAATTTTCTATGCTGAATTACTTCAATTGTACATGTCAAAATCCAACTATGTTCACATATATACTAATATGAGCAGAAACATGTCCAAATGTGTTTTTCAGAATATTTTACCACATTTCTAGCGAAGGTTTGTCATGTTTCTTGCAATACAGCGAGCAAGCTCTCATCAATGCTTGAGAGTTTAATTAAGGTCGAATGAGTGTATTGATAAACGAAAATAGGAAGTACATCCCTAGTTTAAAATTCAATGTCGGGAGACAGTATCACAATTTACGAATATTCTAATGAGTATAGAGTTGTGATGAAAATTGTATGTTTATTGTTGACAGAACAAGAAAGATAACTCTTACCTTCAATTACTATGTGTATATGGTTATATTATAAAATGTCAATTTTTAATCGTTTATAGATAATTCATTTTACACAATTTCAGCATTTATTAAATTAATATACATTAATGCAATACTAATCTATGGCAGTATCATTTTTATTGACATTATTTTGCCAAAAAATGTGTCTTTCATTTCTTTTCAAAATTCAATCCTTTTTACATAAATTTCCATTTAAAATCCTTAAAATTCAGACAACCTATATTTGTTTGTGGCAGAAATTTTTCTTTACTTTAAAGCAATATAACTACAAAATTTGAAGAAATTCTACTGAGAAATGGCGACACAAACCTAATACCTTAACAGAGTATTGGGTGGTCATAGAGAGCAAGTAAGCATGTCATTACTTCGCGCTCCAAACGAATGAAGTGAAGACTCAACTCTTAAGGTTATAATTGTTAAAATCCGATCTTCAAGTGGATGTTTTGCAGCATATTTTGATGCATCAATATTCTTGCATGTTGTCGAGGAAAGTCTTCGAAACAAAGCTAGGGAAGACTTAAACGAAGTTCACTCGAAAAGCTATCATGAATAGTCATCCCCTGATTTGGTAAGTTGACGGTCGTTCATAATGTAAATGCTAAATGTACACCTATTAAGGGTATATGTGACTTTGCAATACTATTCGGTATGCTTATTCGTAGTCTAGTAAGTTTATCAAGTAACGCCGTTGGGTCACTACACACTGGGCTCCTAGTTAGCTTGTTGACTGTATATCTATGTGAATATTTTGTCCCTCTTTATTATAATTCAGTTTATTAGAATATCGAATTTAAACATTTTTAAGTCCTTACGAAACGTGTGTACTAGAAATACATTTAGTGAGCTGACAATGTTTCAAGCCATTGCCCGGAGATCGGCGAGAAGTGCCGTGTCAAATCACCAATGAATTTGAACAATGGGGTCCTACAAAAGATAACAATCATCAATCTACCAAATCTATTAAACAGATATTTTTAGATAACCAAGCTTCACCCCCTACATTGTGACGGGTCTAATGGGGGGTTCAAGGACACAAAACATCCATACACAGCCTGTCATTTTCCTTTAAAAATCTGTTTTCACATATTTATCTTAATTTAAAACACCTCCAGACATTTTGGGAACCTCTCCAAATGAGTTCCGCGGCCCATCACTGTCACTTCAAGATATCTATATGACGGAAGGGCCCCATATCAGATAAGTTAATTTGCTATACTTAGTCCTCGAACCGTATCACTTAGACAATGCTTACAAGTACTGTGGGAGTCAGCTATGTCATCGTGACTGTACCGACAAGGATCTGAAACACACACTCCATATCGTGTACACAGTTGTAAGTTTACTGGTCAATACATTTATTACCCTATATATCCCCAACCTGAGCTTTTTAGTAACATGTCACCAAGTGCACTTTAGGTAAACACCACTTGGAGATAACACATGTTATCGTTCCAAGCGTATTCCTGTAGAATACAGAACTTCCTCCTTCTACCCGTTCGCTGGTCATACAGACGTATATCGAAATATGCACCAAGAACAACAGTTTTGTAAAGAATGTTACCCTCTGTTGTGGAATGGGATTCTTATTGATCACCAAAAAAGACAAAAACCGAAAATTTAAAAAAAGATGTATGTTGTAATAATACATTGTACAACATAATTGGGAAAAACAGCCCCTCCATTTTATGCATATGAAGAACTTTTGTCTTTGAACCTAAAAAATAAATATAAATACTTCTTCTTTATCAATTTATATTGTTTTTAAAGGAAGGAATCGTTCTCTTCCTTGTAGTGTGTTTGTATAATGCACTGGAGGGCAGAGTAAATATAACTTAGTCAGCGATGTTTAAACTTCGATGGCGCGCACCTGGGTGTTGTTTGTATACTCAATGATACCTATAAATCAGAAGTCACAAAAACATGATACCAATGTCTGTCTCCAGACAGATTATTTATCAATTTAAATGAACAATCCATTTGATGCTGTGTTTTACATTTGTTTTCATTCCTTAATTTCAATGTAAGTGTTTGTAAATATATCATGTATACATCATATTTTTATAAATTCCTTTTTTGCATTTTATTCATGAGTATATACTCTAAATATTACATTAATCTATTAAAGAAAAACTTAAAGTGTTTTATACTTTGGGTCAACAGTCCACTATTCGTTAAACAACCTTTTGGTAAAAAAAAGAGCCCTACCTGAATTAAAACGAAACGATTGCTAAATAACTCTTGCTCAATAAAAGAAATTCATATTAAAAAAAAAGAAAGAAAAAATCAAAATTGTTTATTCCGTGTTTGTCTATTTTTTCCATTATCATGATATAAACGTAAAAAACATTTAACACAGGTAAGCACAAGGGGTTTACAGGTAGATGCTATGAACTCTACTAGACATGGTTTTTAATCAACTTCTATTTATTTTTGTACCTTATTACCTATTTAAATAATGTGAATATTTTATCAAACAACGTAATCATTGACAATTTGAATATTTTGCACTATGTGGAATGCCTTCGAACATTTTCATTAACATTCATTATTCATATTGTCATAGTTTAACGAATTTGAGTTCAATTTCTGGTTTTGTTTACACTTTAGTTTTTTCCAAACTTATTTTAATCACTCTTGCTGGCCCAGACGAAAGCGCGCGTAAGGTGTTTATGTAGAAGGAAACCAAAGTATCCTAAGATATTGAACGTGGTCGGACAGGTGACCCAAAAAGCCTCATCGCTTATGATCGGGGAGGGGCGAGTGCACTATCTACAGTCTGCGCCATCCAGTCACCCTTAATCCATGAAAATTAATACTCATTTAAACAGAAACCATAACAATTTCTAGTAAAACCAGAAATACTACCGTATATGACTTGTCCATGGGAGCAAATGGATGCCTTCCTAGTTTTTTTGTTTGAATTATTGGTTCCTAAATCTAATAAAATGGATGTTCCTGAGTGTCATTGTTTTGTCGTCGCAACCCGAGTTTTTGGTACGAGGACGCAACATTTCTTGAATTTGACCTAGATGTACAATGCGGATGTCGTCGATACAAGAAACAAGATACAGGATACAAGACACAAAAAGCTTTATTTAAAGTCGCATACATATCAACATCGACAAACACATGTATATAAAATAACAATGACATAGTGTAATAGTAGTAATGAGTTATACATATACAGAAAAAAATATACTGAAGTGTCACATGTAAGATGAGATAAACAAAAAATTATATCATCACAAGGCTTGACATTTATTTATATAAAATTCAACGAATTGACACACATAAATGAACGATGTGCTACTACCATGAATGTTAAAACACTATCTGTACATCTGTACAGGTGTATTATACATATATGCTAATATAGCAAAGGGTGAAACTTGACATGATATACACTTAACATAGTGTGGATTAAAACAGCATTTCATGTAGTGAAGAGGAAGATGATTACGAGAGAAAACTAACAGTAACATATAGTATAATTTGATTATTTAAATGACATATTCTATTAAGCGCAGAAATTTATCTCACAGTCTGTTTACCTAAAAATGTTGCACCCAATTTTGAGTACAAAAGTCAGTCAGCAGAGGTGCCACAGATCAATCTCCTGAATCTCGGAAAGTTGTCTACCCTCCGGACCTCATTTGGTAGAGTGTTCCACATCCTAGCAGCCTCAAAAGTAAATCATTTCTGTCCATACTGAAGTGGTCTAACCCTAGGTACCTCTGCTGCTTTAGCATGTCTAAGATTATAATTTGTGGAGTTTAGTTTTATCACATCGTGGATGTATTCAGGAGAAAGTTTATTCAGATTTTTAAAAACTTGCATGTAAACAATCTGCATTTGACAACATAAAAAGTTCTGTGAAAGAGGAGACTTAATCATTGTGGATAAAACGAAGGGCACGCTTTTGTATCTTTTCAAGTTTCTTAATACTTCTCATACAGGTGAAATGCCAAACTAGAGGCCAGTAATTAACATTTGAGTGAAAATGTACTCCGAGGAGTTTAACTTCTGGTTCAAGCTCCATGTTTATATTTCCGAATTTAAAAGATTTAAAAATATCAACAGATCTCTTCTCTAAGCATATGACTTGAAATTTGTCAGGATTTGCCCTCATATGATTTGATTCAAACCATTCCATTAAATGTACACAATCTTTTTCTACATTTGATTTTAAAAACTGAGGGTCTCTGTTAGTGTCATCAGCGTAATTGTACAGTTTTGATGACTTTACATATAAAAACATGTCATTTATAAAAATGTTAAAAAGAAGAGGACCCAGTATAGATCCTTGCGGTACTCCCTGCAGCACCTCCAGCCAGTCGCCTCATTTGGAGCCTAGTCTCACCTGCTGTATCCTGCTGCTCAGGTAGCTGGACACACCATGTCTATAGAGCAACTGATCAGACCATAGGCCTCCAGCTTCCGGACCAGCAGGCTGTGAGGAACACAATCAGAAGCCTTGGACAAATCCATCAATATGGCAGCGACATATTCATGGTTGTCCAGGGCCTTATGCCAGTCCTCGACAAGTCTTAGCAAAGCAGACCGACATCCAAATCCTGATCGGAAGGCTGATATAGGGTGGGATTAGAAATATTACTAATATATGATGTCAGCTGATCACACATCGATCTTTCAAGTTATGCACGGTAAAATGGTGAGCGGTCTATAATTTTGTTTGTCACACATCATTTTACCATTCATACGCTGAAACTACTATTTGTACATTTTAAAAGGTTTACGCGTGTTGAATTGTGCTATGACGCAATGTTTATGAAGTAACACTATGACGTATTCGACACCAGAACAGTTCAAAAGCGTCCCTATCTGTCTCATCAATTGGATACATGATGCTGGTGACGTGTTGCCAGATGTTTCTGATAGGACGAGGCATGTGATCTGCTGGGATTTCTCCTTTTATTGCTACAATGATGGAGTTGGTACACCCTCGCTGTACCCTTTCCATATTAGCCATTTCAAGTTCAAAGTCGAACCATCTTGCAGCAATATACTCTGTTGATATCACAAATAATATCTTCTTGCTTTTTTGTAAACAATTGACAATGTTCTGAGAAATAGATTCACCGACTTCAAAGTCGCGCTCATGTAAACACAAATGTATGTTATGTTGAAGCTCTAGTTTAGGTCTCAACTGTTGCCAGATCCACGGAGAATCTGCTGCATCGTATGCAACAAAAAGATCAAACTGTACGAAGTGGTGTCCTCCAAGCCGGGTGTGATTTTACATTTCCTGTAAAAGAAGTAGAGTAATCTCCACCTGAAAGTGTGTCCAATTGTAGCGCACACTAGAGCCAAAACTACTAAACTTATTGCCGATATAGAAAATTCTAACCAGAAAAGATGATCGTCACAATTACTGAAAAAATCGTCCCGATTATCGTAGATGTATTTCATATTAGAATAGGTACCGTCCTTTAAAGTGCAATTGTAGTTTGCAGGTTTTCTTTGGTGTAAGGTTACGTTTGTCACCATAATCCAGGAAACAAAATCTGCTGAATCACATGTACATGCAAAACGATTACCATCCAATAACACAGTAATGCCAGATTTAGACATATCGGCCCTTTCATCCAACCAGTCTGTCGTAATCTTATCTAAAAATAACAATTGATTATATCTTAAATCAATATACGATAAGTTAGTCATCTGATATAACCCAGGAGGAAATTCTTTCAGGAAATTCCAGGCCAATTTTATTTTATGAAAAGTTTCGAGGCCTTTGAGTGTTTCATTTGGTAAGCTGTTCAGATGGTTTGAGGACATATCCAGTTCGTCTATGCGGTTCACATTTCTGAAAATATAATTACCGTTGCTAAACGCTCTATCAAGGTTTGCGTCACGGATCACTAATGTTTGGACACTTACAAGATTACCTAAAAGCCTGCTACCTGAAGTTCCAAAATCCAATCCGGAGACGTCAAAGTACGAGAGATTTGCCCCGAGAAAACTGAAGTCCATATCAGCAATAGCCATGTATGACATGTCAATATAAGTCAACATTGGCGACTGCGACACATCAAAATCGCATTGTACTGAAAACGGGAACAGCAGGTGTGATGATCGAACATGACTAAGATGTTTTGATGTTATTGGAATTTCACATCTTGCCTCTTCTTTTCCTCTTCTTTTTCGCCAAAAATGTCGTGTTGTTTGCGGATGAAAAATAAGATGAGCCAGGTTTTTATTGTTTTCATTCGAACCTATGTTCGAGACTTGATTTCCGACCGCACCTGGGAACTGTATTGCTATAAATGAATAATCAAATTCCTGTAGATTCACAGCATGTGTAAGAGAACTTACAATAACAAACAAAAATTTTGGAAAGGTCAATAGGAAATTATTTTCACGAAGCACAAAACGTTTTAAGCATGTACTGTTTATAAAGCTTGTTACTGAGTTTACCTCCATTTCTGTAATTCCATTTTTACCAATGTTTACATCCTCGATGCATAAGTGATTGTAGTACCTAGTCATGGTTGTGGTAACTTTTACCGTATAAGTAACGTCATATATCCATAACATGCGCAATGGATTCACATTATATAAGTTTAAAAGTTTCATTTCCCTTACAGGATGAGTAGAATTTGTTGTAACCGTAAGTCCATACAAAATATCCATGGCAACAGGAAATGTTATCATTGTTCCTGAGAGATCAAGATTTTGCAAATTATAGAAGTATTGAAGGACCGCTGTCTCAACTTTTACCCACGGTTCGATGTGAACCTGACAATTCGACATCTCTAAGGACGTCAAGTTTGTTAAGTTCTGGAAATATTTGAATGTATCATTCCTCAGATGTAATATTGCACAATCCCTGAAAATCAATGATTTGATATTCGTCAGATTGCTGAAACCTTCACCGAACACCGGATTTGGTAGAAGGTCCATGATGAGTACTTGAAGATTTATCAGTGATCCGAATACCTTGTCAGGATACACACTTTCTACCATCTTCTGTAGCCTTACCTGGGTATTGTAGGATAAATCTAGATGTGTCAGTAAGGGGTTGTAGTGAAACCGTAGGTGTTCGAATCTTTGGTGTAAAATATTAATTCTGTTCTCACTTATGGATAATTTCTGCAAGTTTCCAAGGACCGCAAACACTTGTTCGTCAATGTGATCGACATGACATCTGTTTAAATTTAATTTTTTCAGTTGAGGAAGATGTTCAAAAGAAGAATTTCTCAAAGTAGTGAAGTTGTTTCCCGAGAGATCTAAATACTCAGTATGTCTGGATAGTTTTGGAATTTGGGTTAAGTGTCGATTGGAACAATTTGCTGTCTTTCCATCATCAGATATACTGCAAGGTCGACAGCAAACAAGATGGATGATAGCCAGATTGACGACACAAAATCTCAAAACCATGTTGTAGTCTGAAAGAAAAGCATATATATATTTGAATCGTAAATCTAGTAATAAATACATGTAATATGGCGTCATATATCTATAAAGCAGTATTTTTATTAGAGTGGTTGTCAATAGTTAATCGGTTACTCGGTTGGACGATTACGAACTGGGTACAAACATCAATACCTGAAAGCCCGGACATGTATTTATCGTGTTGGGGAGCCCATGTCTCCCTGGCTATGACCTCCACATTACCTTTTTGTGTGACCGAAATCGGATAGTTTTGTGATAAAAAACGGTGTTCAGGCAGACATGTTAGTGTTGTGTTTGCAAAGTTTGCCACCAGCACTATTAAAACACCTGCACTGGCTTGAAAAGGAAGCCATACTACAAGTTGTGAAATATCAACTTTTAGAGGTAGAAATCGCTTTTATAGGTGAGATGTAAATATAATCACATAATAATCATATATGAACACACCTGAATTAGCAAACATGTATTAAAACGTTAGCCGATCAAATATTGTTCTGTAGAACAATATTACCGCATATAATTTTGAGTACAGATATTTGTAATTGGATCCCCTTTACTGTATTCTGACAGCTGTTGCCAATAAAATCTACTTACGCAGGTTACATGTAACTTTTTCCTGCGTTAAGCTTCAAATACGCGAGCAAATTATCATGTTAAATATTATGTAAATGTAAGTATGTTGTGTAGGATCAAATATGGAACAGAATAGCATAATATCTGTATACATCCGAAGCTCAGGTGAAAATAGAATTTCGGGGACATCTTACCTTGTATAGATAGTTTTATAAACACACGACACCCTAAAACTTTATGTTCGTCCACTTTCTTGTCAGAATGATAATGGTACAGTATCAATACATCCACCACAAACGGAGATCAATGACAAAATGTTATTGTACTTGATCTGTTATGAGACGGTTGACCAAGAACACTTCCTGGTTTGGATTTCAAACAGGTACACAACAGGTATAACTCCGGAACATGTATGAACTCGGTGTATTTATGTAATTATATACGCGATAGAGGGCTTTAAAGCCATAAACATGGTATCTAGCCATGCATGACAAAACAAGACGCTTTATACATGTTGCTCCTATTTAAAGGGATTGTCAGTTTTCATTGTCAGTAATCTCCTACGAGTAGTAGCATGTTTCATTATAAACACACTTTACTAATTTGAAATTAACCAGTACTCCTCTAATTAACAAATTAAGGAGTTTTATGTCAAGTGCAACCACATGTGTGTGTTGCGTTCATTGAATGTTTATTATACATGTATGAATGCAATGTCATGCCTGTAACAAAATCGCTTTTATTGAAGCATCATACATATTGCTCTAATAATCCGACCGGGAGATATATCGTGCTGGGTGCCTTTGGCACGTGTTTTTTTCAGAGAGTCACGACGGAGCAAATACACCAAAATACCGCCTCCATCACACAATCATGCATGAATACTAAGTATATAATACTTTATTACTACATAGCATACAGCACACTGACTTAGAAAACAACACTTTATTACTACATAACATACAGACCACTGACTAAGTATATACTACTTTATTGCTAAATACCAAACAGAAACAACGACTTAGTATAAACAAAAACAAAAAGTCTTCCACATCTTTATTGACGCCAGATCATTGTCATTTTCTCCGTCATTTTCTCCATTCACTGAAATCATCTGAGGTCACGCAATTTCGCGCATTTTTATGCTTCCAAAACAGTTTCCTACACATGGATCTGCCGAACAAAAGGCAATTATACTAAAAGAGTAAACTAAAATAATTTACATATGATACCGATTAAAATCTTAACTTAACTTGTAGGTATATACACCATTAAGAAAATATGATATCGATGACGCGATAGCTAGCACGGAACTGTACTCAACTAGTTAACACAAAGCGTTGATAAAACTTTCGATCAGTTCCTTTTTCGATCAAGCTAGAGTCATATCCACGAGCATCAGTAATATGTCTGTTGTATAGTCCAAGTTGATCCTGACAAGGACTAGAAGGAATGACGTCATCATCAGAAAGCCATATGACGTTGATGATTGTGCTGCCTTGGATGTTCCCTCTGTAACAAAGCAAAGTATCAAATCAAGGTCAAGGGACCTGAACATGTTCTACATGTATGATTATCAATTGAGTTATGATCACTTAAATATTCCCCGGAGAGCTTAGCGACGTTATAATACCGAAAAACGCTTCCAAAGAATGGTTCTCATCTCTCATATAGATATGTATATTTCTATTTTTATGAGAAACAGAACATGAATCTATCTTCACTTGACATTTGAATTTTATGATATTTACTTAAGATATTATGTCTTCATTCCTTATTGCCAGGAAACGCATTCTGCATTGCCAGAAGATATAGTTTATGTAATGGAAATACCAAACCTACTTGGAAGGACGCATTCGACCTCCACCTCCAAGTACTTGTAGATGCCGAAGCAAGGATCCTCTCCGAACAGGTCATTATCAGCTGTGAGAGTACACTGTGTCCGGCCTTCACACTGCCGTCTAAGTACACCCAGAGCTCGGGGGGAGCCACATGTGGTTGTGTTGTGGAGACGCTCCAGACCAAAAGGGTGGACACACACTTTTTTGGACGTCCGACCGTAGTTAGCGTAGGAAACATGGAGGACTGTTCCCGGCTTGTCTAGACAACCGACTGTGTGACTCTTTAGTTCACATATGAAACCGTATTCTGTAACAACGTCATAAAAACACAGTGATACAATTAGTCTTAAGGTAAAGGTGTGCTTTGTAAGAAAGCTCACAGGTAAAGACATGCTTTGTGAGGAAAACAACAGACAGGAGTGATACTCTAAAAGCCTAACGGTAAAGATGTGATTTGTAAGAAAGCTCACAGGTAAAGAATGCTTTGTGAGGAAAACAACAGACAGCAGTGATACTCTAAAACCTATCGGTAAATGTGTGCTTTGTAAGAAAACTCACAGGTAAAGATGCTTTGTGAGGAAAACAACAGACAGCAGTGATATTCTAAAACCTATCGGTAAATGTGCGCTTTGTAAGAAAACTCACAGGTAAAGAATGCTTTGTGAGGAAAACAACAGACAGCAGTGATACTCTAAAACCTATCGGTAAATGTGTGCTTTGTAAGGAAATAAACGTACCCTATAACAACGACAAGTACATTTAGAGTGGCTATATTGGGAAATGCGCATGGTTTTAATAACCAAATACTGTTACAAGCTAACACTTGGTATATATCAGTCAGTCCAATTTGGTAGGTACAAGTAATAACGAACAAGTCAAGAGGACAGTATCAATATATTGAAAACATGAAGTATATGTAACAGAGAACAAACGGTGACAGTTTACTAAACCCGCACCTAAATTTAATGCAAAATAAAGCTATCGACAAAATACTTATTTGGATGGTCAAGCAACCAAAACCTCAATCGCACGTAATTATAAATGCAAACAAGGACCCGTCTACATTTATGAAGATTCCATGACCACTTTATTCGCGGTTAGTTATGCATGAGTCCTAGAACATCATAACATCTGCATGATGCAGTGTACTAATTGATTTTTGCCATACTGTATCTCCTACCAAAGCTTAATTACATTCATTGTTCAAGGTACAAGGTGGGAGACTGCTGGTGAATTAGTTAGTACCCGAGGCTTTCTGTAACTTGATGGCCACATTTATCTATTTCGAGTAGTGTCACGGTTCATAATATACACACTCCACAGACTATTTAATAATTAACCAGTACTCCTCTACATTTTGAAATTAATCAGTTAAGAGGTTTTAAACACCTGCCTCTTTGTTTCAATGGTAGTTTTATAATTTTGTTTTCCAACATTTTCCCCCTAGCATCAAAGAAATGAAGGACGAAACATCGGTATGATGCAGTGTTTATTCACTTTTGCATACTGTATCTATTACCAATTTTTCAATATCTATTACCAAATGTTTAATATCTATTACCAATTTTTTTACATCTATTACCAAATTTTAAATATGCAGTTACCTGTGTGTGTGTTACGTTTATCATAAGGAAGTGTTCGTTTGAGTTATTCTACCTGTACCTGTATGTATTGATTCGTCTTTGTGTGGCTGTTTGTGAATCAGATGTAGATTTGTCTATTTAATATATCATCTATGTCATGATATCTTAACATGCTCATTGATAACTCTGGAGTCAGATGTGCTTTGTTAGATTATTTGTTCTTAAATGTTTAAGTTCCTCCATCCTCCATTTTACAGTGATTGTCTGTTCCTGGATTAAAATATAACTATCGGTTTTTATTTCAATGGATTGTACAACTATATTGTTAAAGCATTTTTTGTAAGCATGTATTGGATTCCCTTTCAAAGTTTGCTGGTGTTAACGATTTTACTAAGACAGTAGTTGCTCATTATTAAACTCATTAACAATATGGACAGTTACTATTTGATAATGGACAGCTGCCAGCAAATACCTGACTTCATTGTACATTTTACTATCAGATGAAAACTCGGAACTTTTTGCGCTAACATTAAAAAGCAATTCTCTGTGACAATACCAAACAACTGTACTGCATATTACACAAATGGTGTGAGGGATGAAATGATACTGTTTTGACCACAATATACTGAACTTCTTAATACAAGAAATCTTATTTCTACCGACGACTGTGTGTTTTATGGTAATTGATGTATTTGCATCAAGTAAACTTATGGCCGAAAACAACATTTATGGCTAGATTAGGGTTGTCAAATAGGTCATATGTTGGTAACCGGTTACTCGAACAATCTTCCGATCTAGTAACCGGTCAATCAGTCAATTTAGTTATCAAACAATTAACAGTAGCAAACACATTATATTTTTAGCAGATGTTCTACTTAAAACGTATTTACATCACAAGCTTACACGTATTAATTAATTAACATAATAGTTTAGTCGCGTATCTGTACTCGAAATCAGCTGCGGATATCGTGCTTTGGTACAAAATTTGATCGACAAACACATTAAAATTTGATATTTCAAACCTTTTATTCTGGCCTCCGTTTATAACGTGTTCATGTTTTTTATGGTGTTGGCGGCATCTCTTTGTTAATATATACAATAGAGGACAAAATAACACAAACATGTAACCCTGAACACTGACTTTATAACAAAACTATAGATAATGTGTAGGTCTAAGCAAGGGAAATATGGAGGTAAGTAAATTCCAACTATTTGGTTATTTATTTTGGTAACTGATTCTTGGTCTTCCGAGCGAGTAACCGGCTAACCGTTGACAACCTTACTATACATATTATTGCCAATTAGTTAACTCAAAAGCTTTTATCAGAGGCGTTTAAGCATATTTTTCTCAAGCAACTTGCATATTGACACAAAGTGCAACATTTTGACACAAATTTCTGTTATTTAACACACATATACATGTTTCTGTGGTATTTACCCGTCTCACAATGCACTTCTTGACCAACACCGTTGAGAAATCTTGCGATACAGCCTCCGCAGTAATCTGGCCGACAACTGGCGGTGCGGTCAGACTCACATAATACCGTATCCTCTCCAGCCAGACAAGGGTTTGTACAATTCGTAAACTGGTGCTTTCCCGGAGGACATGCTGAAACGAGAACAATAGACTTAAGCAAGTCATGATTGTTTCAAAAAGGACAGATTGAAAACAAAACCCATTAGTAATGTCAAATGGTACTTTCCCTTGGACAATCCAAACTAAGACATTAGTAATGTGTAATGTCACATGATACTTAGTAATGTCAAATGGTGTTTCCGCGGGGAACAGACTGACACGAATCATTATCACCGACATATGGTTTTCAACTTCCCTTACTTTATTATATTGCACCAACTAACCCACCAAAAATAATGACAAAATTCACAATTAAAGACAGCATAACACAAGCATATTATTAAAAAAATAATTACCGGCATCTGATTGGGCAACAATTGTTAGACACAGAACAATCGCATTCAGCAGCGTACTTAGACTGATCACAGAACACATTATGTTAATCCACACCGTACTTCCCTGGATAAAGACTGATCACCTTTGAGCTACAGTATCGATTCAGTCGTTTGATTAAGAGACTGAGCTCAATGTTTCCAAAAATGCGCGCATTGTTTCCAGAAAACATAAATCGAAAGTGAAACGTTTAAGAATAAATGCGGACAAGTGTTATATTTTTATCTTTACCTTTGCATACCCCTTACTGGCTACTGTATGCGTACGCGACGAATCGATGGAGTGTGTCCACTGTGCTGAAACGGCTTGTTCTCAGTTACCCCACTTTATGAAATAACATGTTGTTTGAAGGATTATAGTCTGTTTCTGAGTAGTATTGGCAGTATTTACCTGCATTTACCTGTGCGTTTACCTGTGGTTAACTCTTCTATCTAGTAGATCAGACTAATCATCATATTAAGCATTTATTGTTACAATAGAACAGCTGACAAAAGATGTTACGTGGTGAAACGATATGAACCTTATAACCTTTTCAAATGTACTCTCTTTATATGTACAATCCCCCCACACATATATACATAGATGTACGTGTAACGTTAATTTTACACCCTGATAACCTAAGTAGAGTAAATAACCTAGCTCAAATGTTTTGTACCTAGATAAGGCGTTGTGCTATGATATGTCATCACCATTGTTGTAGTGTCTTTTGTTATGAGTTAAAAGCGTACATAATTACCAGAAAAGGCATAATTAACATTTCTACACATTGTCATTGATAAGTTTTGAATGGTTTGTGCTGTGAATATTTACGGGTAGATTTTTTCAGACTATAAACATTTAAAATGGCCACGCAAATAGAATATTCTACTGCCATTTATTAAGGAAATGCATTCCCAACGTATACGTAGACATCAATGTGGAAGACAAGTGCCATTACGCCTACCGAACTTGGTGAGAACTTTGGAGAAACTTATCAAGAATTTCCAGAAATTCAGGTAAAGAAGAGGGATATCTTTCATAGCCTGGCCCAACTCCAGGACGGGTCTGATTATCAAAATGCCAAAATGAAAAAAGGAGAAATAGACATTCCAAAGACTCACCTTCAACTGAGATGACAGCCAAGGATCAAATGAATTATATATAAACACTGGAATACAATAGAGGTGTCATTATAGTCTGTTCTCGTATAGTACAGGTAGATTATTTACCTGTTCAGCAATAGGAAATACTGTGTTAGTTATGGGAATATTTAACAAATATATTTCCTGATTTTCGTAATATTCACTGGAATTATGAATAAATATATACAAGATTCCTGTTATTACTTTATAAAAACACATCAAAATACATATAAAATCAATTTTATACATTTATCTATACATTTACATGTAAGTTATATATATATTTCATAAAATAGAACTAAATTTAGCTAGAGATTTATGACAAATATAACCAGTAAAGACAGAGATCATGTATTACATTATTAAATATGCAAAAACAGATGCAAAGCTGGGAATGAAAATAAACAAAACAAAATCAATTAGATGTACACATGGAATACTTATCACTAGTTGATCAAATCAATCATATTCATAAAATGCACACGCACAAAGATACATGATATAAAACTAATATAATAGCACTAGCTTACTAAACGTGAAATATTGGAAAGTCCATAAAAAGCACAGATAATGAAAAGTCCATAATTTTAAGAAATTCAACCAAAGCACCAAATAAAAAATTCCATAACAAGCACATTTATCACAATGTCATTATAAATGCAAAAGATGGGATGCTGTGTCGGCGTACTGGATTGCATCTGTTATACCATTCTCCAAGCGTTCCTTTAGTTGGTTATAATTAAGACGGCTGTCGATGTTACGGTAGCATTTTGCTCTTGGTCATTATTATCAACTAGAAATATCAGTGGACCCAAGCAATATGGGGTTATCAAATAGTAACATAACTGTTGATTATGTTTTAGGGTAAAATAATCTAATGAGTGATACTAAGTTATTAATAATTACACTGACGATTCCCTGAAAATAAGGCTCCAATAAGAATTTGCTTCACCCTATTTTTTTTTTTACATTAATTAAAGCATTATTATCTATATATATACTATTAAATATATAAAATATATAAAATATTTGTGGATTTCAAGTTACTGTTTTGTATAGATCTAGCTGATGAAAATCGTATATGATATGAAAAACAAATCTAAAAATTAAGAAAATAGACTATATCAAAGCTACAAGTATATGACAGTACTGTATATATGATACAGATAATGTGGGAGAACACAGGTAAAAACCGTGTAAAATATATATGAAACAGACTATAACTGCTATCACAATAATTATTGCCTTGTTGCTGTTGTTGCTGCTGCTGCTGCTGCTGCTGCTGCTGCTGATGTGATGATGATGATGATGATGATGATGTGTGCGAGTTAGTGTGAGTGTTCTTGATGATGAGAATGATGTTTCCGAGTCAGTGTGAGTGTGTTCTTGTGAGTGTCTTTGTCTTATCTGTAATTGCCATAAGTTGTAAAACTTCAGCAAATAAAGAGCTTGAACTTGAACTTGTTCTAATTAAGCTGAAAGCTGATCATATATAATTTAATAATACATCATATAAGACTTTCAAATTTTTAATAGCAAATGTTAATTCAAAATATTTCAATATTAATTATATATATAAATATATATATTAAATATATCCATTCTGTAGTTCTTGAGCTGCTGATATGACATATAGTAAGATGAATGTTTTATTTTATTTTGTACTTTAAACATATTATTAAAATAATGAAATAAATAGTTATAAAATGAAACTTTTCTTTATTATTGTAACATTTAAAAGATGCCTAAATATCTAGTAAGAATGGTTATGTGTGACTAAGAATGTGGTATTTAACAGTTGATAATTGAACTTTAAAAAAAGAAATTCATAAACTGTCATAAAACTCCTTTAATATCTATAATTATTTAAGCTTTCATTTCCATCCCGGTGAGCTAGAACTGATCACAGCCTATGCTTTGTATTTCGGTATCATTTGTTCGTGTTTAAATAATAAATAAAATTACAAGTGCCAATTGGAGGGTAAAACAATTCATAAATATCATTTAAAATGATGTCTTATCTACAAAGTGTAGCTGTACTGTCCACGTGTGCAGGAATTTGATGACATGATTCAATAGAAGATGAATCAATATGTATGCTATTAAAATATCAATAAAATGTTGCATTGATTTGACAAATAATTCATTACTTAATTAAGGAAAGGGATCGCATGCCAAAATGTTAAAAAAAAAAGTTAATCTGAACGTGGATTCGAACTTGCACCGTTCACTTCTTCTGGTCAAAAGTAAACTACGTTACACATTCGGCTACACTTATATGGAAATACAATCTGTTTTAACCCAAGAAACAGTTTTGAGAAACCATGTTTTTTCATTATTTAGAGCACTTTACCATCATACGAATTATTTTGCATATTACATCACGGAATTAAAAATTTTATTCAAAAGTTGGTCCTCGGATAGGAAAGTGACGAAAGTATATTTTTAAGTCTGGGAAACCCAATTATATTCATAGATATGGTGAATATTGCTATATTTACAGTATTGTATTAACAATACCTAATATCTTAGCAGTTCAAACATTCATATTCAATTGGTTTGATATCTTTTCCATGCATGTTTGCTACTAGAAATTATTTACTCATAAATTTTTTCTCGTATCTTCATAAATGCCGACTTGGGGAAACATGGGTAGTTTTCCGCCATAGCTCTTTAAGTACATATTTTAGCTTGTCTTGTATTTGGTGGCTTAAAACGTGTAATGTAAATGAAATGTAATGTATCAGTATTGATATATTTGACTGTAAACTCTTATTATTTAGTTATTATATCTGTATTGTACATCTTGTATGACATATCACATAACTTAACAACCTAAAATTTGATAAACAGACAATCAGATGTTTATTTATTATCTTATTTCATCAACCCCTCAAAATTTATCAAAACTTCTAAAATCACATACACAAAAAAGCTACAAGTCAATTCAATTCAATTCGATTCAATTCAAATTATTTCCGTAAGTTTTACAACTTATAGGATTTGCATTTTTAGTACAACAAATAATTTCATTTAAGTACAACAACAAATGATTTTATACTACTGGCACATTCTCATCATCATCATCATCATCATCATCATCATCATCATCATCATCATCATCATCATCATCATCATCATCATCATCATCATCATCGTCGTCGTCGTCTTATAACTCATCATCATGAAATAACCATCTCTTAAAATCAAAATCGACGACTACATCATCATCATCATCATCATCATCATCATCATCATCATCATCATCATCATCAGCATCATTATCATCGTCAAAGTACAACAACATGAAATATTTACCATTTTAACATGAACTTCATAAAACTGGTACATTCATCACAAATCAACGACAATATTGAAATCATTATTGACACCACTTTCATCAATATCATCATCATCATCATCATCATCAAAATATCAACATCATCGAAAACATCTATATCATCATCATCATAATCATCATTGCCTTATAAATCTTCATCATCATCAAGTACAACAACATTGAGTATTTACCATCTTATACATGAAAGATTGTACGAACAAAGCATGGAATTATAAGTTGAACAATCCTTCGTTTGTTAGCTTCAATAATAAATTTACCGAACAAACTCAGTTCTTTTACATTGTGTGTATTTACTAATTCGATAAGTTTGAATACAGATGGTTTTTGCCAGTAATAGTTTATAATATATGTTCTCCTTAGATCTAGATGACGTGGGCAGATAAATAGAAAATGAAACTCATCTTCTTCTATCTCTATTTGGTCTCAGGTACTGCAATATCTATTATTCCTTGCAATATTCCTGTACCTTCCTGTTTCTTTTGCAAGATTGTGAGCTGACATACGTAATTTGGTAATGATAATTCGACGTTGTTTTGGTATAAACTTTGTTTAATAATATTGCAACATCAAGGTATCTACCATATATCTAAAAAGGTCACATTTACTTGAGATGTCCAACGAGTTGAATAAAGTTTGTTTTGCCTGATCATCTATGCGCTGTTTAATAATAGGTAGTAGCTGCCTGCCTTAACCATATATATCCAAACCCTAGTTCAAATAATTTATGCTTTATGAATAATAACCAATTTCGTTTCGGGTTTTCCCTCCAAGTTTCTTTCAATAAAAACTGATATGCTTCTTTTATAATACAATTTTCACAATTTAACAACTTAAACCAATATTTAAACATTCGAAGCATCTGATTATTTGCCAGCGGAGGTCGTCCAAGCTCAAAATATACCGCAGCATTGCACGTAGATTTTTTAACACACAAAATTCCATATGAACCCTTTCTATTTTAACTCCTTTATAACTACCCCATATTTCACAACCATAATAAAATACACTACTCATATATGTGTCAAAGAGGTAATTTTCACACAGGTAAGTTACCTGTGGGGTAAGTATGAAACAGACTATAATTGGTTTGCCATTGTCTTCCTATATCAACACTTTTCTTTGTTCTCTAAAAAGTGGGGTAACTGAGAACACTCCACTGGAACACGGCACTGCAATAGGACAAAGGCCAATATTTGTTGCGCGTATATAGCGTTCCAATTCTAAAATTTTATTTATAATTCTAATTGAACACGAAAAAGATTGCTAATTAATGCTAATTAAAACATATTGTTTACTGAATAATACAAAACAGTGTTTTCACTTCAAATTGCATCAATTGATAGGATTTTTTTAAACTCACAGTTAAAAGTAGTAATTAGTTATGTGAAATGTTTAAACTACGAATTATTCTGCGAATTAAGATTTAAAAAGTTAAGATAAAAATAGATACAACATAGCCCCTAAACACGTGTAATTCATGCCATCCTCGATATCCAGGAGTTACGCTCACTTTCGCTCACTACACCCCTGGAACCATCCTCGATATCCAGGAGTTACGCTCACTTTCGCTCACTACACCCCTGGAATATGTCATATCAAAATTGAAGGCAAAAAGATAGCTGTTTGATTGGTCTCGGGTAAATAAAAATTGACCAATCGCTAGGCTGATACCTGTCCTTTGAAGATTGGACAAGGTGGCGCACACCGATCCTTCAATTTTGCTATGATATATTCCAGGGATGTAGAGAGCGAAAGTGAGCGTAACCCCTGGATATCGAGGATAAATTTATGTTGGCGTGAATACAAATCTGTTGTACATATCAGCAGTCACTGTTTTGATGGATTAAGTGTGTTGATTTTGTGGAAGGGTAATCGGAAAAGAGACCAAGAAACCAACTGGAAGATTGCACAGCATACAGTTCAGATACCGACATCAACGATAGCCGAAAATAGGTTCGCCAGCTTTCGGCTGGGGATCTATGGTTCAACACTTCACAGGAAGCAGATGATGGACATCACACTTCAACTGGTAATGGCATCTTTCAGTTGCCTGAAAGGGATCTTCTAGTTCGGAATCGTTTTGACAAAGAGGGAGCATGGGCATCTGTAAGCTTGACACTGCATTCTGAGGTAACGAGAACAATGAGCCATCGAACAACGCCACAATCCTCAATGTGATCAGAAAAAAGCCGAGGAACTCGGCGACCTAAGGGTTAAGACTACCGGGACGCTGACAGTTGGCTCAACCAACCAAACGACATATTAGTAACCAGGATTCTAGATGTAAAAGTCATTTATCAATTGTAACTCCTCGTAAGCCATCCGTTTAAAATAAAGACCTTTGTCCACATTACTTATAGAATATACATATATATGTATATATTGTGCTTTTAATCAATGTATGTGGTGATATATATTATCCAGTATGTCTTTTGAAAAAAAATTGTTATTTTTGTCATTTTGATTTTAGCTAAGCGTTTTCATTGTATTAAAACACTTTATTTAATTTCCAACCTTAATTAATGTCTTTAGTTGAAATAGGTAGAGTCAAATGTGTAGTTTCTTATAAGAATTAGCACAGATACATAAAAAATTCAAGGTAACTGATATTGACAATATATAATTACCATGCTTATGTTTTACAGAAGAAAGGTGTGTGAGATATTCCTGGAAAAGTGCACTTGTAACACCGGTGGGAAAATAACCTTTGAATTTTCATTTTTTTCAATTTGAACAGAATGACTTAACTATTTGGCGTAATGGTACCCACTACAATGATACCCACTACAATGGTACCCACTACAATGATACCCACTACAATGGTACCCACTACAATGGTACCCACTACAATGATACCCACTACAATGGTACCCACTACAATGGTACCCACTACAATGATACCCACTACAATGGTACCCACTACAATGGTACCCACTACAATGATACCCACTACAATGGTACCCACTACAATGGTACCCACTACAATGATACCCACTACAATGGTACCCACTACAATGGTACCCACTACAATGATACCCACTACAATGGTACCCACTACAATGGTACCCACTACAATGATACCCACTACAATGGTACCCACTACAATGGTACCCACTACAATGATACCCACTACAATGGTACCCACTACAATGGTACCCACTACAATGATACCCACTACAATGGTACCCACTACAATGGTACCCACTACAATGATACCCACTACAATGGTACCCACTACAATGGTACCCACTACAATGATACCCACTACAATGGTACCCACTACAATGGTACCCACTACAATGATACCCACTACAATGGTACCCACTACAATGGTACCCACTACAATGATACCCACTACAATGGTACCCACTACAATGGTACCCACTACAATGATACCCACTACAATGGTACCCACTACAATGGTACCCACTACAATGATACCCACTACAATGGTACCCACTACAATGGTACCCACTACAATGATACCCACTACAATGGTACCCACTACAATGGTACCCACTACAATGATACCCACTACAATGGTACCCACTACAATGGTACCCACTACAATGATACCCACTACAATGGTACCCACTACAATGGTACCCACTACAATGATACCCACTACAATGGTACCCACTACAATGGTACCCACTACAATGATACCCACTACAATGGTACCCACTACAATGGTACCCACTACAATGATACCCACTACAATGGTACCCACTACAATGGTACCCACTACAATGATACCCACTACAATGGTACCCACTACAATGGTACCCACTACAATGATACCCACTACAATGGTACCCACTACAATGGTACCCACTACAATGATACCCACTACAATGGTACCCACTACAATGGTACCCACTACAATGATACCCACTACAATGGTACCCACTACAATGGTACCCACTACAATGATACCCACTACAATGGTACCCACTACAATGGTACCCACTACAATGATACCCACTACAATGGTACCCACTACAATGGTACCCACTACAATGATACCCACTACAATGGTACCCACTACAATGGTACCCACTACAATGATACCCACTACAATGGTACCCACTACAATGGTACCCACTACAATGATACCCACTACAATGGTACCCACTACAATGGTACCCACTACAATGATACCCACTACAATGGTACCCACTACAATGGTACCCACTACAATGATACCCACTACAATGGTACCCACTACAATGGTACCCACTACAATGATACCCACTACAATGGTACCCACTACAATGGTACCCACTACAATGATACCCACTACAATGGTACCCACTACAATGGTACCCACTACAATGATACCCACTACAATGGTACCCACTACAATGGTACCCACTACAATGATACCCACTACAATGGTACCCACTACAATGATACCCACTACAATGATACCCACTACAATGGTACCCACTACAATGATACCCACTACAATGGTACCCACTACAATGATACCCACTACAATGATACCCACTACAATGGTACCCACTACAATGATACCCACTACAATGGTACCCACTACAATGATACCCACTACAATGATACCCACTACAATGGTACCCACTACAATGATACCCACTACAATGGTACCCACTACAATGATACCCACTACAATGATACCCACTACAATGGTACCCACTACAATGATACCCACTACAATGGTACCCACTACAATGATACCCACTACAATGATACCCACTACAATGGTACCCACTACAATGATACCCACTACAATGGTACCCACTACAATGATACCCACTACAATGATACCCACTACAATGGTACCCACTACAATGATACCCACTACAATGGTACCCACTACAATGATACCCACTACAATGATACCCACTACAATGGTACCCACTACAATGATACCCACTACAATGGTACCCACTACAATGATACCCACTACAATGATACCCACTACAATGATACCCACTACAATGATACCCACTACAATGGTACCCACTACAATGATACCCACTACAATGGTACCCACTACAATGATACCCACTACAATGATACCCACTACAATGGTACCCACTACAATGATACCCACTACAATGGTACCCACTACAATGACCGTTCAGAGACGTACATAAATACCTAAATGCAAAACAAACTATGTAACCATTTCTATTACGGTAACGTATCTTACTGTTATCTTCAAGGCGGTTTAATTTAGTATTTCCCGAAAATTAAACAATATTTCAAGTCTAAATGTTCACAATTTTTTAATAATTATTTCATGTCAGGTAAGTATCGCTTGCACCAGAAGATACATTCTGATTCGAGGTACACTGTGGTTGAAAAATCCTTGCTAATTAAGTCTTCTGCTTCACCATTATCATGTAGAGGAACAAAAACGAAACTAGAATTAGAATTGGATGATCCTGTTGTGGCTAGTGACATCTGGCGTGTTACTTCTCACATTAAGTCTCCCTGCGTGCTTCCATCTCAAGTTATACAGCACTACTAATTCTTTTGAAAATAACAAAAGGGTGTTCCTAATGAATCGTACACATGTACAGTTTTGATTGAGAAAATATTTTTTTCTACTTATACATATTTCAAATGTGTTAATATATTTCACTTCCGTCTTGCAATTATATCAATCTTATAAAAGGATATGCTTATGACTGCATTCTTTTTTCATTCTTTTTGTTGTTACGGAATCGTTCCTTATATTTACATTTTTAAGTGCTTTGAACTTTCCAATGCAGGTATAAATAAAAACGGTTATAGGTCATTTTTTCTATTTTTACAAGGGGGCAACGCAGTAGAGAGAAAAACTTGTTTTCGCAGGAACTTTTCCTGGGGGTCCTTCATGTAGCAACAGCATGACAATAAAACAAACAAAATATGGTTCAATTTCAAAATTCAATTTGTTGAATTTGTACAACTTAAAGTCATTTTTTATTATTATATCCTTTACACACCATATTTTAGCTTTGAAATCAAACCAATCACGTTTAATGTAGTTTAATGTTAGCATAACAAAACTACATCGAGTGCTGTTTAAATACGCAGTAATAAGGTCACGTGTGTTATGAAAAAATAAATGTCATTTTCGTCAATGGGTCCAAGTATGCAGAATGTAAATATTTTTTAAATAAGCTTCGGCATCGACAACAATGTAAAGCTCATTAAGAATTAAGGCAGGAAACAAAATGTGAACTTGTTACGTGTTGGTTTTACCTGAGTACATGTAGATCAATGGTAAAGTTTCCCTCAGATACGAACATATCGCAGCCTCCCAAAATACACACACATACACTAGGCCTGCACGCATGCATCTTGCACACAGGGGAGGCCGTCCTTAAATGACCTTAGCTGTTAATAGGACGTTAAACAAAATCAAACAAACAAACAAACAAACAAATCCCTCAGATAACAGATTTTAAAACCGGTATCAAGCGCCTGTGCTGCACAAAGTCTCGTACTGGGGATTCACGTCATATCATATAATCGATAAGCACCTCGACAAGACGTATGTTCTATCATGCGAGTGAAAAGGACGAAGTGATCCGAGTGCACATAGCATGGACATAAAGGAAAGAACAAACCGAAAGTAGAATTGATGCGGCCTTTCTTGGAAGTGTTTACATCACCTAACAAAGTCCATACATATAGTGTAATAACCAATATGTCAAACGGATCTCACAGCTCTGACAATGTCCTGGAACACAACTGTCGTCCGGAGTGGGCCTTATGGACATGTGTGGCGGCCAACGTCTGTGGTTTGACAAGTACTACCCTGTGGTTCCTTGTCCTGTTGCCACAGGTATACAAGAACTTCCGTCGGAAGTCAGTGGTGGGACTGAGTATCCTGTGGGCGACTGCTAATTTTACGGCGTCTCTGGTTAATATTTTCTTCGTATATCTGTACGCTAGTCTGCCTGTTTACTCCTCAATTAACGCAGTCTACATGCCGATACTTGAGTTCACCATTCTTGTTCAGTTTTGGCTATACAACTCGGAGTTCTCTGTAAAAGCCAAGTACTGTTACGCCGCTGGGTGTGCGGTCCTTTGGGGCACCATCATCACAGTACAACTAACTGCACGTAGGTTCTCAGAGATGCAATGGGTAGCGATTACACTTTGGTGTGTAGAGACATTCCCTCAGGTAAGCAGGTGCATCGACTAGATAACTGACCAAACATGTGTTAATTGCATCGTAGACACTTGGGGTTAGACAAAGGAGAACATTAAAGCGTCTATTCTTCAGAAAGTGTTTAACTTCAACTATTAGAACAACCGTTTGCCATCTATTAAAACGTTTAAGAAAATAATTATTGCTTAGAATAATGATAATAATAATACATGAATACCATATTTGAAATAGCACCCTATCTAGCTAGAATAAGCCACTCTAAAGAATACAAGTATATAAAAACTGCATTTGTTCGATGCTATATAATTAAATATCCAATTGATCGTGGATGGCGTACATTTTTAGCATTTTAAAACTTTAAACATTGCGCTAATTTATTATTGTACATTGGAGTTTCTATATGCAGTTTCCTCCTGCATATTGTGTGAGTGCGCCAATTCATCAAAGAGCTAATCTGTTAAAATTCCTTAATACACTAAAATTTGAGACTGCTAAAATAAGCACTTTCACGGTGCGTCTCTTTGTATCGAATGATGATACGTGTATGGCGATTAATTATTAATCAATGTGGAACAAGTTGAGGTGAATGTTTTCTCTATTTTGTTGTACAGATTGTTCTTAATCTGAAACTGCGCTCTACGGCTGGTCAGTCCACGCGTTCTGCTGTGATAGCGACGATAGGAAAGATGACAGACTTCCTGGCGACGTATGGTCTGGTGATCCCTTTACAGTACGTGGTGATGGCGTATTTCTCTAGCTCGGTGGCCTACATTAACGGTATCCAGATAGCGTGGTACTTTCGGAAAAACTCTTGGGCTCCAGGAGGGCCAACAGTGCTAGTATCCGACCAGGATAACGGGTTCATTGAAGGGAACAACCAAACACCCGACAATGAATCTTATGGAAATGTCACCATGGAGTCTGAAGACGTCGAATATACTCCCCTTTGTTCTGGTCTCATCGTCAGGTGGCGACACCCGAATCTAACGCGAACGAGTATTGTAAGAGGAGTCGTGATTGGATTTCTTGTATCGGCATTGGCGCTGTTCTTGTTTGGACTCGTTGTGGTGACCGATTCCGGTTATAGTGCCATGGCGCCTCTATCGATAGCGTCTGCCCTTTCTCTCGCTTACATTTACTATCATACTAGCGCAGGGCAGAGGTTGCGACAATTGTGTTCCAACATGTGTGAGAAAAGGCCACGACAGACGATGCAATAATTAAAAATAAATAGATGTTAAAGATTTAAATCACTTTTGTATTTGATTTTGTTTAAAATTTGATGTATCACCTTTTTGGCCCCTAGCATCACCGATGAGTCCTAGAAGGACGAAACAGCTGTATGACATACTGTATGTATTACCAAATCTTAAAGTAGCAGTTATCTGTGTCCTATGTCCATTCATTTAGGTCTCATCTGTGGTACTAAAGTGTTTGTTTTTAAATGTGAAAATACAAAATTTAAAGTGTTCAAACAGGTAGCAAGCAATACAGCGGATGAAGAAAGGTGACACTAAAACCCTATATTACGTTACAAATTTACAAAATTCGGCTTCAACTGGTAATGTATTCCTATAGAAGTATATCTTGTGTGATCTGTGCCAGAAAACAATCCATCATCAAGGTTAGACCAACCTCGGGGACTGAATGTACGTGTACTGGTTTACCATCGGCAATACTCATTACTCTGTGATACTAGACTCAACCAGTATAAACCTTCCACAAAATCATAACATCTACATTGAGAATAATAGCAGCCAGAAGCTATATGATGCAGATAGTATGGGCCATCATTTTTTTCTTCTTTCATGCATTAACATGGTACCCAAAATGTCATCTGGCTGGTTTGGGGAATGTTTAAGTGACCAAACAATCTAATTTGCACTGTGAAATTCTCCAACCAAATGTGCACCCACTCATGGATAATGTCAGTATCACGTTGAATTCGTTACCAATACGATTTTTTTCTCTCAAAGGTTGCTGTAATGAAATGTGTAGAATATTATACCTGCATCTTTTGAAGAGGTAAAGAGTTGCATAATACAAGTGGTGCATATGTGGACGGAGCACATTCAAGCAGTGAAATGTTATTTTAACCTCACAATATATAAGTTTATTGGGGATTTGGTTTAGGAGGGTTAACAGCGCTCTTCACATAAAAGCAACACTTGCATGATATAATGCAAATCTTAACCTCTTTCGAAGAGACAGAAATCATAATCTACACAATGCAGTCTAGTGATATTTGAGGGAATTATCGCGTGTGTCACAAAATCACGTTATTACCGACAGTGTTTTTGCAACCTCAGTGGAGAATTGAACAGTGCAAGTTTGACTTACATTTTGTATATGCCATAAAACATTACCTCAGTCCGTACCAAATATTTAGGATGACAAAGATATGTCTGAAAAAATATATTTGTAAAGTATGTAGAGTCTGCTTCGATGCCAATACCAATGAATGCACTAGAGCTAATCCCTCTTGTGAAGCCGTACGTGCTGAAAAAGCTTACCGTGAGATGTTGCCGTAGGATGTTCAATGAAGATCATATATGCAATGGTTAAAGTTTTTGTTTAATCTGTAAGAGTTTAACTCTGCATCTCAATTGTTTATTATGTGATAGATTGAACATTTTCAGGCTCAGTATTTTGATTTTTATGTGATTCATGTTTGAAAGTTGATTATTATCATGAATAACAAAATGATTAAATTTCAATTTTCTAGTCTATTTAGGTTTTAGTTTTTTTTTCACTTTTGTAGTTGTCATCTACCAACCTAGTCCCTCAGATGTGGTTTTAGAAGTAAATAATTTATTCGTTATATAAATTCAAAATGTATTTGCACATTTGTAACTACAAATTAGTTTGAAGGCAAAATAGTAAAACACAGTGAAATACATACATAGACATGTACATGTAGAAAAGTCGCAAAGTAATTCCTTATATTTATAATATACATAAACATGAACAAAATTAACATAGCTTCAAATAGAAAATTTGATTTAAACATTTTTAGCTGTAACGTCCATATACCTTATACCGTCAGCAAGCCCACTTTCCTCAGCTCTTGAGACTGTTTAATGAATAAGCAAGAGTCCAGTATAAACTGCGAGTTGTTTGTAGATAATATTGAGGTCAAATAATTGGTATCTACGGTAGCATCATTGTGATTAGGAATGCATTTTTGGAAATATTCTTTTCTGGCAGATTCATTAAGGGACAAGCGAAAAAGAAGTGTACTTCATTTTCTAACACATCACATTTTTTTACAGAGTCTCTGGTCTCTTGGTATACTTTTGAGACGCCCCACGGCTAGCTCCAGCTTGTGTTCACAAAAACGAAATGAAGTAAACATTTTCCTTGAATTGCTGCTGTAAATGTTAAGGTATTTTTTAGGGACATACTCCATCTTTAAGTCTTTATTACTCTCGTTTAAATTTTTAGTTTATTAAAGAATCTTATCTCATATTACTTTTTTATACTTTGCTTGGTTTTAATTTTAAGTTGGGAATTACTGTACAATTCGTCAGGATCCTCTATAATTTGATGTAAATCATTGTCTAATGTCATATCATTAACATAACTAAACCAGGTATATGAAGAATCATCTGATAGTGGGGAAAGTTCCATAAAAGAACTTCCATGCACCTGATATTTGATACCACTTGTCCTTACTGACAACCTGTACAAGCCACTGACATAAAAATAAATATTGTGTAACATGACTTATGTCAAAGTGAACATGCGCTGAAAGTAATTACTGACCTGCTGGACAAGACAAGACATAAAAGTTAGTTGTGTAACATAACTTTTTAAGTGTACATACCAATATGCTGCAAAAGTATTAAAATCTGGAATGGTGACACCCCCTTAAAACATTCTGGATCCGTATGTCCCTGTTCATTCATGACGATAAAAATCTACATGGTCCTAGTTCAGTCCCTTGGGGTAAGTGATTCCATAATAAAAATCTACAGGGTTCTAGTTCAGTCCCTTGGGGTGGGGGATTCCATAATAAAAATCTACTTGGTCCTAGTTCAGTCCCTTGGGATGGGGGATTCCAGAATAAAAAAAACTACAGGGTCCTAGTTCAGTCCCTTGGGGTGGGGGATTCCATAATAGAAAACTACAGTGTCCTAGTTCAGTCCCTTGGGATGGGGGATTCCAGAATAAAAAAAACTACAGGGTCCTAGTTCAGTCCCTTGGGGTGGGGGATTCCATAATAAAAATCTGCTTGGTCCTAGTTCAGTCCCTTGGGATGGGGGATTCCAGAATAAAAAAAACTACAGGGTCCTAGTTCAGTCCATTGGGGTGGGGGATTCCATAATAGAAAACTACAGTGTCCTAGTTCAGTCCCTTGGGATGGGGGATTCCAGAATAAAAAACTACAGGGTCCTAGCTCAGTCCCTTGGGGTGGGGGATTCCATAATAAAAAAAACTACATGGTCCTAGTTCAGTCCATTGGGGTGGGGGATTCCATAATAAAAAAAACTACATGGTACTAGTTCAGTCCATTGGGGTGAGTGATTCCATAATAAAAAAAAAACTACATGGTCCTAGTTCAGTCCATTGGGGTGAGTGATTCCAAAATAAAAAAAAAACTACATGGTCCTAGTTCAGTCCAGTGGGGTGAGTGATTCCATAATAAAAAAACCTACATGGTCCTAGTTCACTCCATTGGGGTGAGTGATTCCATAATAAACAAAACTACATGGTCCTAGTTCAGTCCATTGAGGTGGGGGATTCCATAATAAAAAAATACAGGGTCCTAGTTCAGTCCCTTGGGGTGTGGGATTCCATAATAAAAAAAAACTACATGGTCCTAGTTCAGTCCATTGGGGTGGGGGATTCCATAATAAAAAACTACAGGGTCCTAGTTCAGTCCCTTGGGGTGGAGGATTCCATACTAAAAATCTACAGGGTCCTAGTTCAGTCCATTGGGGTGGGGGATTCCATAATAGAAAACTACAGGGTCCTAGCTCAGTCCCTTGGGGTGGGGGATTCCAAAATAAGAAAACTACAGGGGCCTAGTTCAGTCCATTGGGGTGGGGGATTCGATAAAAGAAAACTACAGGGTCCTAGTTTAGTCCTTTGGGGTGGGGGATTCCATAAAAGAAAACTACAGGGTCCTAGCTCAGTCCCTTGGGGTGGGGGATTCCATAATAAAAAACTACAGGGTCCTAGTTCAGTCCCTTGTGGTGGGGGATTCCAGTATAAAAATTGCACGTGTCCGACTTAACGCTGCCCAAATGGACAGATACTCTCGTTTGTAAAGAACTGTCCACGTGCAACACGTTTTCTCGTATCCCGTCCGTCCGCCTTCCGTTTGCTCCAGCTAACAAATAGAATCAGTGTTGTAGTAGTAATATAATAACAGTTTACAACATTTGATAGTAGTTAAAAACAATGAAGTTGATTTGTTTTACCAAGCTGAACAAAACGTTGTAAATATTTCGAATATTACTCTGTCTCAAGACATGTGCAACCAAATAAAACTGTAGTGTATGCCAATGATATACATTGTACAATGTAGGTGAGATTTGTGATGACATTTTTTTCGCAATTTATATCACGATAACTGAAAATGTCTATAATTCTTTCTTTGATAAATTCAATATGTCATCATCACATTGTTTGTCTTGTGAGATAGAAAGATATAGAAACTTTGTAAAAATCAAAAAAGATTTTTAATTTTTGCTCACTAGATGATTATATAGTTACAATTTATACATGTAGATTTATAATTAGAAATCTTCTACTTTTATTTCTACTTTATACTGACCGACTTCAACACGCTGAAGGTTATGTCACTTGGACTACGCCTGGCTTAGCGGAACAATATTTACAGTAAAAAAAAACAATGATTTTTTTAAAATTTAAAACGAGTTAAATATATTTGCATACTTTATAAAACATTTTTTATTTTTATGATATGATAAAACTATTTACACATGATAACTTTACTGACTATAGGTGTACGTTGAGACAGCTGCTTTGATCGACTCCATAGAGTCGCTCATCACAGTGATCAGTGGAAGGCTGTTCCAGGTTTTAATAGTCCGTGGACAAAAAGATTTTTGTCGGATTTGAGTTCTGCAAGATGGAATTTTATAACAGAGTGAGTGTGTGTGCCGTGACTGTCTAAGAGGTGGTATATTAATCTGTTTGTTTATGTGATGGCAATTAGTTGGTATGCTATTTTATAGAACATGACAAGGCAGACATCAGTTCTCCTGTGTACTAGGTCTCTCCAT